ATTATCTCAGTATTACAGATGAAGAAACTGAGACCCAAAAAGTTTGAGCAATTTTCTCATGCATGGATAGATCCAAGATTTCAACTCACGTCTCCTGACTCCCAGTCCTATGCTCTTTCTATTGTGGGGAAGGAATCAAGAAAGGGGGCCACTTAGATTTTCAGCAAGTGTTAGGAACTTTTATATTCTTTACAAAAGATGTACACTTAGGTCTGGTAGAGTTTCTGGGAAACTGGGCCAAGATTAATGTTAGCTTAGTGTTTTTTTTTCCCAATGATGACTCATTCTATTGTCTATTTAAAAATTTTAATATCTTACTTTTATTGTTTTTTGCATCACATTCCTTTCTGAATATATTCCCTCCCTCCTCTACTCAGAGAGCAATTCCTTGTTATAAGGATTAAAAAAAAAAAGAATTGGGAACAAAGCAGTTCAGCAAAAGTGAATACTACATTGATATCAGTTGCATATATTTTAGTTCCCCATCTCTGCAGTTCAAGAAGGGAGGCACATTTTCTCATGTCTTCTCTTGGGTTAAGTGTTAATTTCGACTACTACTTTTTTTGAGGTTTAATTATAAAATTCCTAGAAGGACACTCCATGCCCCATTATTCTAGGTTAGTGAGGGAGAAAACAAAATGTTTTCTGTTTGGTTGAATACTCCATTTTAACTGAACAAGAAAATATTTGTTTTGGTTTGAAAGGGAGTGGCAGCATGCAAATTGTTTTCTTCCTGTATGGTGAACTGGATCACTCTTAGTGGATACTATTGTATTAAAAGTGAAAATTCTCTGCCTCTGCTAAAGTCCAATTCCAGTGGCTTATTATGTGAGCAAGTGACCCTGCAGTCTAAGAGGCTCTCCGCACGGACCTCAGGCTGTGCCAGACCTTCCCTAAGACAGAAAGACTTTCAGGACAGCTTAAGTTTGGAAAGACTCGTGGCCAGAAGATTGACTAACAGAGAAATAAATGGTTTTTTAATTGTAGCAATTTATGCAAATAGATGACCTAGATATGGAAGGGTTGTAACCTCTAATGTGAAGGGACAACCTTATAAATGAAGTCGTAGACCCTTGTACTCAAAGTAAATGAACACTAAAGAGAAGCTGTTTTCTGTTTATGCTAACTTGATAAAATATGACTTATTAAAAAAGTGTGGTCCTGAATTAAAATAAAACGTGTCTCTCTCAGTGGAATGATTTATTAGTAATTCGAATGCCCCAGATTTTACAATTCCTTTTATTCTGACAAGGTTAGAGTATACATATCTTAGCAGCAACTTGTTGAGATATTTAGGGACAGTTATTATTGTTATCAGACATACGGAAATTGAGGCACAGGAAGGTGTAGTGAGTAATCTAATTGCTCAAATAAAATGTCATAAAAGTATTTAAAATAATATTTAATATAAAATATTTTACTTAAATTCATATTATAATTAAAATATTTTATCAATTCCTTTCACACTCTGTTCATTTTCCTACCCAGAGAATTATACCTTTTAATAAAGAAGAAAAAAGAAAAAGGGGGGGGCAGTTCAGCTAAACAAACCAAAACCTCAACCGAGATACTCATTAATGTCTTGTACTCTCTTGTATTCTCCCACCTACACAAAGAAGGCAGAGAGGTATGTTTTCAGGAGACATTTCTTTTTAAAATTAATTTGACTTCCATTAAAAGGGAGAAGCACTTTAATTTCACATGTATGTCATCAAATAATGCAAAGTATTCAGGTCACAGTGACCTTTGAAATTTGAATGTGGCTTCCACACTTGTTTTGCAAGGGACTTAAACCGAATGGAATAGAGTGGACCAAGTGTGATTGCCATTGAAAGTGACATCGCATTTGGAAAATCCTTTGGGATTGTGAAAGATGGATGAAAACATCATTGCTGAGTAGAATGGAATTGGCCAGACCCACTGTTTAACTGCACGATCAGCTCTTAGTCATTTCAATGCCGGAATAACTGTCTGAAACTTTTTATGGAGAAAACAGATTTTATAGCAGGGGAAAAAAATTCTACATTTTTGAATTACATCAAAGATCTAGGAAAGGGAATGTTCTCGGCTGTAGATTATTTTTATTCTAAATAATATTTGATGATTGAACTAAGGTAGAAAGCAAATTATTATAAGATGAAGTATTATTTTTTAAAATAAAGTGAATGCCTTTGACCCTAGTATTTTCTTGAAAGGATAACTAAATTATCACAGGAGTTCTGATGCTCTTAATAACTTAATGTATGAATTAAGGATTGATCCATGATGAATTTAGGGTAAAACAATTATCTCAGAGTTTATATTTTGAAGTTTGAAGCAAGTTCTTGAATTATTTCTTAGATTTAGTTTTTTTAACTTAATTTTCTTCTTATCAAAGTTATTTTGCAAAAAAAATGGTTAATGAAGGGTGATATTTGTGAGTTTTCCAGGGGCCAAGTTTCAATCATCACTAAATAGAATTTATCAATAAAACTCATAAATCATGATTTTAACAAAAATACTGCTTTTCTTTGTAGGATAAGTTTTTCCTCAGCTGTGGAAAATGTATTATTTAATGAATGGGTGGTGGGTGTCAGGTATACTTTGACATCTGGCAGTGAAAATTATATCGTTTTTTGTTGTAGTGGTTCACTTAAAGGACAGCAGAGTGGTTTTGTAGATGGAAAGTTTTTTTTTTTAAAGCTTGACATTTCGCTAATGAATGTCAGGACTGCTTATTTCTTATCTATCATAGGAGCCTAATTCTTGAATTGCCCTTGTTCTTTCAGAAATGAGGAATGCATTATTCATTGCTGTCATGCTTCTTTCCAAAGAATAATATCCAGTTATATAGTTGGATATTCATATGTATGAATATGCCTATATGTGGATATGCAGCAATAATGAATGTGTTTTGTGTGCATATATACATACATATAAGCATAATGGTTGATTTTATATAGTGATTTAAAGCTTACAAAGTATTCTGTTTATATTATCTCCTTTGAGATTGCCTTCATATTGACCTTGAGTGATAGGTTTTACATTTATTATTATTCACAGTTTACATGTGAAGAAGCTAAGGCAAAGACTTCATGAACCATTCCACCTTGGGACAGTTCTGATTACTGGATAGGAGTTCTTTTGGTTTTCCTGACTTTAAACCTCAGTGGGCTAAACAGACCTAGTCTCTTCAATGGATCCTGATAGGGAAAGAATTCAGAACTCTTTACCATCTTGGTGGCCCTTTCCTGGATACTCCCTTGCCTATCAATGCCCCCACTTTGTTCTTTTTAAAGCCAAGGTGCCCAGAATTGAGCACGTTACTGCCGATGAGGTCTGACAAGGGCAGAGCGCTGGATAGAGTACAGACTAAACATCTCCGTATTCTTGGAATTGATCTTCCTAATGTGGCTTAAGAATACATTAGCCTTTTCTGGCTGACATATCACATTGCTGACTCACTGAACTTGCAATCCACTAGAATCTCCAGATGCTTTTCAGAACAACTGCTGTTTCTAATACCTGGGAAGTTGAGAGTGGTGTTGAATTAGATTACCTCAAGTTTTTTTTGTTTTTTTCCCCCCCACATTCTAAATCTATGATCCTATGATAAAATAAACCATGACAGGCAGTATTATAGAGTGGAAGGAGTTATGGCTTTAAAGTCAGAGGATCTGAATTTAAATCCCAGCACTCTTACTTCAGTCACCGAGCATTTAGTAAGCACTGGCTGTATGTCAGGTACCATGCTAGGGAGGCAGAGACAACAAAAGGAAACAGCACGCAATCATAAGGAGCTTACATTCTTTACGTACTATCTAAGTGACCTTGGGTGATTTATTTTCCTTCTCTGACCTTCAGTTTCCTCATTTGTCAAATGAAGGGGCAGAGTTCTAAAGGGTCTTCTATCTCTAAATCCTGTAATCCTAGGTGGAAGAAAAGAAGTTACCAGGAGACAGGCAGAGAAAGAACCCATCTCATTTCCCCTTGGTGATGCTTAAGAAGCTTAGGAGATTTTTTTTTTTGGAGGGGGGTGTTTTTTGTTTTTTTTAGTGATCCAACAATGAACCAACATGTGTTAAGTACCTACAGTATGCCCGATATTGTACTGAGGATTAAAGACAAAAGTGAAATGATTCCTCCCTTCTAGCAGCTTACATTCTAACTAGGGAAGCAACACAAGCACATACATTTATATACAAAATGAGTACAAAATAAATATAAGATGACATCAGGGAGGAAGTTCTAGCATTTGGGGGTATCAAAAAGGGTCTCCTCATGTAGGTGGTGCTGGACCTGAGACCTAAGAAAACTAGGGGTTGTAAGTGGCATCTTCTAGTTCTCCAGGGTCTCTGGCTCAGCTGCTCCCCAACAACCTGGTGAAAAGAGGGTGTTCTTGGACAGGTGGTGCCAATTTAGTATGCACTAAAGACGTAATGAATTGGAAAAACCCCAACAGAATAATAAACTAGTTCCCTGTACAAGATGGAAACTCGTGAAATTGGTGTCTCAGTCATACCTCTAAAAATGTTCATATGCCTTCAAAGTTATTATAACACACAGCTAAAGAACATTAGTTATATGGTATTCTTTTAGATTGTATTTGCCCCTAAGCCTGATAGTAAAAACCAGGCTGTCCTAAGTAGTCATTTATTGGACTTTTGGGACTCATTAACTGAATTAGGAACATTGTATGTCATCTGTTTCTAACTCCTACATTTCTCTCTTTTATCTTACCACTATGTTCCAGTAAATTATTTTATTGTTCCTTAAATAAAGATGGAACACACTCCTATTTGTGATGACTTTCTTTTGGCTCATCCACCTACATTTATCTTATTTTGTGCTGAAGTGAAAGTGTGGAACTCTAGATGACATGAATAGTAGTTGACTTTTTTTTTTTTAAAGAACCCTTAAAAGGTATAAAACTGACTGTGAAAATAAGTGATGTTGGACTGAGAGAAAATAGTTGAAAGAGACTTTCCATTATTAAAGGGATTTTTCCTTTTGTTTACTAGATTCAATTAAACTATTTTGGAAATTATATCCCTAATGCTTGGACACAGGAAAATGGATGTGTTCTTTGTGATTTGGATGTAATTGACCTCTCAACTAGAGAAGTAAGTATAATGGTGCATGCAGTGTGCTTACAAACTGTGAATTGTCATTGCTTACTAATATATTTGGAGGAAAATAATCAGTTGAATTATTTTTATTCTTGTTTGTTTATGTGGTTGTCTTTTGTTTTTCTGTTGCTACTGCTGTTCCTACAGACCTGTGAGTTCATCACTGTTGGGAAATTCAAGTGGAGACACTCTCTCCATCATTACTTAACTTATAATTTTAGAGAGTCACTTGTGGTCCTAGGGTTTGCACACAGATATAGTATGTGTCAGATGTGGAGCTTAACTCCAAGGTCACCTCTCTATCTTCTATGTCGGCCTACCTCTCGAATAAAGTGGATGTTGAAACACCGAATGTAGTCTTTTAAATAGAGTTGATAAGTGAGAGATTGAGTTTATGGGTAAATTAAAATCAGTTTTATTGACAGCCTCTAGAAAACAGTCAACAAAAACATGCTTATGGTAGCCTTGGTAGCCAGAGACTGAATCTCTTGAACCTTTGATATTTATAAAATCTTTTGAAAAAGGGGTGAAAAATCAACTGAGAGTGAAGATGAACTCTAATTGGTCAACAAGAGAATGAATAATATAATGGGAGGTGGGCTATATATTAAAATGAAGTTGTCTTGGATCTCCCAAATCTAGACTTAAGGACACCTATCAATTTCCATATTACCTGTCTGACTGAAGGGCGAATCTACACTTCCCAGATATGTCTAAGCAAACACAAGGAGCAACAATGCACTTATGAGCCTAAAATTATAATTCCTTTAGCTGTCTGATTAGATCTTGGCCTGGGTGATCTTTAAGAGAGATTTCCTACACTGGTCGATTTCTGGATGAGGAAGTAGAAAAGGGGAAAAAATCTTAGTACTGATTCAATAATTGGTTATTAAATATAAGAGAGAAATAATTAAATTCTCACATAGGTTTTCTAGACTTTAAAGATGTCAGTTTCTTGTAGGTCTAGCTATTGTTTCCATCTGAGCTACTTCACCAGTTTGGCTGAAATACCGAAGCTCCAACATGAGCGTGGCTGTTTGCTTCGAGTTAATATTGTATTAGTTAGCTGTCAAGTTGATCGCAGTTATTAAAAGAAAAGGTGTAATAACCACTTAGCATCATTTTTTAAATCAAATGCTACTCCTTTGTAGATTTTTAGAAAGATTTTCCCTATGGACATTTAGTTACATTTATTTTTTGGCAGCCAATATTTCAAAAGAATAGGCAACCTTCTAGAAAGATATTGTTTATTCATACAATTTCTTTTTCTTCAGATATAATACAGTTGTGATTCAGGGCAGTGAAGAGCTTTCAAGATATAATATAGCAAAGTTTTACTTTGAGCAAATCTCTTTGATGACCTGGAGGAATACCAATTTCCATGAGGAGTTTATGGTAGAAATACTATAAAGTCATGGAAATTTACAGGAATGTAGTTCTACAAACTGATGGCCTCATCAGTAAGGAATTATTCAAGAGGGAAAAAAAAGCTCTAATAAAGTCAAGATTCCAAGAATGAATGATTTATATTCTTATCAGTGTCTAAAGGTGGATAAAAAAAATAAGTTGTGAACATTTAAGAGCTACTGAACAGGGCCATGTTTTATTTGAAAATAAGACATTTTGGCCAATTTCTCAAACAACAGAGTATTTCCTACCCGGAAAGAATGCCAGAATATTTCTGGATAGAGATATGATGAAGAGATGTTTTAAAATGATATTTTTTGCAGAACTTAATGTTCTACCCTTATAAAAGACAGCTATTGCTCTTACTTGTTTCATTCTCATTTATTTTAACTGTCTCAGGTAAGAATTAAAAATAAAATTGTTTCCTTTCTACTTTATACAGATGAAAATCCCTTGATTCTTAAAACAGGTATAATCTCAGAGCAGTTTAAAAATAGCATTGGAAAATCTAAGTTACAAGCAATATTAAATCATTAAAATCATCTCAGAGTTAATATAATTAGTTGGTATGGTATATAGAGTCCTGGGTTTGGAGTCAAGAAGACTTGAATTCTAATCCAGCTTCAGACATGTCCTAGCTGTATGACCCTGAGCAAATCATTCAGCCTCTGTCTGCCTGCCTTTCCTCACCTGTAAAATGGGGATAATAATAGCACCTACCTCTCAGGATTATCATAAGGATAAAATAAAATAATATTTTTAAAGCTCTTTGCAAATCTTTAAATGCTATATAAAGACTACCTAATTGTTATTATGGTTATTATCATTGTTATTGTGATCTTATTTTTTATTATTGTTGTCATTATCAACTAAATTCAGTATTTTAAATAACTATTTAGGATAATTACATGTGTTTAGCCTTCTGGTCTCCTTTTAAGAGACTGTTTTGCATCCATGTAATCTGTTTCAGATTTAAAGCTCTTAGGAATAAGGATTCATCACTCTGTCTCTCTTTGTTTCTCTGTCTCTTTTTTCTCAGTGTGTGTGTTTATTTGTACACACATGTGTATATATGTATATGTGTATATCCTTATACATGCATATCTATACACACACACACATATATAACTTGAGTATTCTAGTCGCCTTTAAATAATGTGGCCAATTTAATTATAAAGATTGCTCTGACAACCTAAATGTGTTAGGCACACACCATAAAATGAGGTGCCTTCATTTACTTTGAGAGGAGCTTAGTAACTGCACCAATAGCATCCCTGTGCTCCTGCTTTATATCAGTGCGATCTTAGGCTTCAGTTTCTTTACCTTTAAACAAGGGGCCAAAACTGAATGGTCTCTGATTCCTTTAATTTTTAACACCATACAATCTAAGTTTCTGACGTGAAAAGGGAAGGTTTTTTTTACTAAAAAAAAATAATTTATATATTGTACAAATAATGTGATTTTCCCTCCCCCTCTTCCCACTCTTTTTATTGGTATAAAGGGGAGAGTCAAGGGTTAATTCTTACATTTAACATTAGGTTTAATTAGTTACAATAGCTGGAAAATCACTCTGAACAAAATTCAAGACTGAATTAACATATATTGATTTCCACACTTTGCAAATCATGCCAGAGTGAAGCTAAGTGTGTGTGTGTATATGTGTGTGTGTGTGTGTCTTGACATGTTATCAACTCCCTTTTCTTTTTGTTCTAATAGGTTGCAAAGCAAAATTTCCCTATCTAATCAACACTTGAATTCAGTCTAAATTGGAGCCCGCTTGAATAAAGGTTCATTTTATTGCCTTTTTCTAGGCCTATCCAAGGGTAACAGTTGGTGTTTTCATTGAGCAGCCGACTCCTTTCCTACCTCGATTTCTAGACCTGTTGTTGACACTGGATTACCCCAAAGAAGCTCTTAAATTCTTCATTCATAACAGTGTAAGTATTTGGTATCTTTTTTATTTTATTTTTTTATTTATTTTTTGGCAAGGCAATTGGGGTTAAGTGACTTGTCCAGAGTCACACAGCTAGTAAGCGTTATGTGTCTAAGGCCATATTTGAACTCAGGTCCTCCTGACTCCAAGGCTGGTGCTCTATCCACTGCGCCAGCTAGATGCCCCCAGTGTAAGTATTTGGATGGTGAGTTCTGTTGGGGAGGGGGTGGGCAGTCCTCAGAAAGATGGACAGTCAGTAACAGCTTAAACACAAGAAATGATGCTTTACAGTCACTGAGATATTCAGGGGGAAAATTAGATTTCTTACTCTGGTAAAGCAGAGACTAAGTGATAACATAAAAAAAAGTGTAACTCTATGATGGACATGGATAGAGTGAACTTGGGTAAATCAATAGAATACTGGAGAATCAGAACTAGGGAAGACTCCTGAAGCTTGAAAAAGAATTTCAGGATGCGAGGACTAGTAAACTTCTGAAACTCATTATAAACAGATTGTGATACAGCCTGGAAAAAGATTCATTGGTTAGTGCATTTTTACAAGTAATACAACAACTTCTGAATTTAAAAGAGCCTTGGGATATTAGGGCTAACATTTGTGTTGACATATCTGAGGGAAAATATCCTGTATCCAAGAAGTTCCTCAGTATACTAGTCAGAGATAGGATACTTGGTGGAAAGAACCATTAGCCTGGTCCAATGTGGCATTTATTATATTGTTAAAATTTATTTTCTTTTGTCTGTGAGCTGTGGATAAAGATAAAATATATGATCTCATCTCTTCAGGAATTACAAGGGAAATGCACTATAAATAAATGTATTTTTTAATATCTGGGATATCTTCATTACAAAAGACATGCTAATTCAAATCATGACTGAGCTGGTTCAGAGATTTTTTTTTTTTATGACACACTTCCCAGTTTCCATGTTGCAATGAAGCTGGGAATAATTGGCCATTAACACAGTTGCTAATATATCAGATATTGCAAATTGTCTCTGTGCTTATCATCAGAATATTAGTGATAAAATGTCTATTTTTATGTTGGATATAAATGGAAAAAAAGCCAATATTATTGCCTCAGAGTTTGATGAGGACAATCATATTATGTGTGTTTTATATTTTCAATTTTTAGATATTTTGTAGCATGTTTCTAGTATTCCAGAATGTGTTCTAGAACATACTTTGAAGGCATTTTTCCTTTCTTTTGATTTATTAAGCTTATAATCCAAATCTTTATATCTGGGGTAAGTTTCTAATTGAAAGTTTTAAAGTGGTCTCTTTTTCAAATAATGCTCAAATGCATATTTCACAGTGAACACCTGTTATATTTGAACAATAGTAAAATGCAATATTTACTAAATTAATATTATTTTGCTATGAGAATCCTTGGCAAAGCAAGGTGTGTTGGCTTCTTTGGTGTCATTTTCTCTAATTCTAAATTTTATTAATATTTTACAGGAGGTCTATCATGAAAAGCACATCAAGGAATTTTGGGAAAAAGCTAAAGATGTAATCAAGAATATAAAAATTGTTGGTCCAGAGGAAAACCTAAGTCAAGCAGAAGCCAGAAATATGGGGATGTATGTTTACAAATTTTACAATTTATTTATATAAAAGAATAACCAAAGAACTCAGAGAAAATAACGATCTTTTTACAGAAATAAATATGAACAGTTCTATTCAGCCCTGAGTCTGTAGGCCATATGGTAATATTTCAGAAGGCTATGAATGATGCTAATTTGTGATTTTTTTGGCCAACCTGTTTAAACAAGACATCATTTTTTATTTCTCAAACCCTAAAAATACATGTGCAGATTTGAATGAGCAACAGAAAACTGGTATGGCAGTGGTTTAATTGCAGAGTATACTAGACAAAAAATTACATATTTGCTAATAGTAAAAATAGATATAACTAGACAGACACAACATGCAGTAGTAATTCTTTCCTTACCTGGATTTCACTTATCCCACAACTTCAACTCTCTAGACTAAAGCCAGTAACCAATAAAAAGGACATATTTTTTGAGCAGCTGCAAAGGCTCAAGGTGTTCCAAAGTTAATGCACATGTAACTCAAAAGAAATCTGCTTCATATCTGATAACCTTTATTTTACATTTGGACAGAAGGAGGTATTATAGATGCAGACTTACCTATAGCGTCTAGAAAGAACACCTGGCATTCTGATAGTGAGGAAGGAGACTGAAAAGCTTAATAAAGCCTGTATAAGAACACAAAGCACTGGAGGAAGGGGCCAGTAAGTCTAGTAACAAATGACCCTCTCCGTTTCAATAAGGTTCTGAAAGCATCATTTGTGAAGTACAGGAATTTATATTCCTAATGATTATCCTGAATTGTTATATTCAGCATATTCTGTGTAGTGTCTTAGAATGATTTTTACATAGGAAATTGTCTAAATTTAGAAAAAAAGCTTTGGAAATTTAAAGGAATTAATTGTAATTACATGGGGGAAAAAAAAGAAACACCTTCATCTCTACTTAAGTGGTACTGTGTGTGTGTGCATATGTGTGTGTGTGTGTGTGTGTGTGTGCATACACATATACACACACACATATATGTATATAATGTATATATACATAATTTTTGTAAAGGAGTAGTTTTGCAATTTAAAAAAAAAACAACAAACAGAAAAACCCAACAAACTCCAAAAAGCGTTTTTGTTCATAAAACAAATTATTCAAAAAGTAGTCAAGCAAATTTTCATCTATTAGTGAGTCATATGATGGTGTATTTTAATTACAGTTGGAGTTAAGTATAGAACTAAGGTGACATTCTAACTGGATATGTATGACATAATAACAACAATAATGTTGTTGTTTAGACATGTCCATCTCTTTCTGATTCCCATTTGGGATTTTCTTGACAAAGATACTGGAGTGGTTCAGTATTGCCTTCTCCAGCTTATTTTACAGTTGAGGAAACTGAAGCAAGCAGGGTTGAATGACTTGCCCAGAGTCATGGGGCTAGTAAGTATATGAGGCCAGATTTGAACTCAAGAAGAGGAGTCTTCCAAACTCTAGGCCCAGAGCTCTATGCACTATGGTGCCACCTAGTGGCCCCAAGAATAATATCTAGCATTTATGTAACAGTTCAATGTCTGAGAGAGAGAGAGAGAGAGAGAGAGAGAGAGAGAGAGAGAGAGAGAGAGAGAGAGAGAGAGGTATTGTGAATATACTCTTTGTCCAGAAGTGGTTGTTTGTATCTGCAGTGGTTAGAACATGAGAATTAGAGCCAGGAAGACATGAGTTCCAATCCTACTCTGGACATTTGCTAACTGTGTGATCCTGGGCAAGTAACTTAATTCCGGTGTGCCAAAGTTTTCTCATCTGTAAAATGGAGATAATAATAGCACTTATGTCCCAGAATTGTTGCAAGCTAACCCATAAAGCACCTTTTTATCCTCTAAGCACTACATAAATGCTAGCTATCATTAAACTAACTGCAAGGACCAAGTATACAGCTATAAAATCAATAACAAACATTCTGAGAGTTGGTGTTTCAAAGTTTTGATGGACTGCCTTAGATTAGCTTAAACAATGAAGAGCACTTCATAGAAAGCTAATGATATTTGTGGTATTAGAGTGCATTAGTATAATACTAAAGCTTTTTCATTTAGAAATGATTAACTGTCCTACAGCAATTCTAACTGACTGCAACATTTTTGTCGGTTTCAGGGATCTATGTCGTCAAGATGACAAGTGTGATTATTACTTTAGTCTTGATGCGGATGTTGTTCTGACCAATCCAAGGACTTTGAAGATATTGATAGAACAAAACAGGTACTCAGTAAGATTCCCTGGGACCCTCCTTCAAAAGATCATCCTCATGTACAATTCTCTTTGAGATTTAAAACCGTCTACCGTCCTTAGTCAGTGTATTTAGTTCAACAGATATTTATCAGATGATTGACATTTGCAAGGCTCTATGCCAGGTTTTGCAGTTACATGTGATATTGACACTCTTCACAGAAAGCCTGCTGTGTAATGGGGCATATGTATACAAATAACTAAGACATAAGTATAATAAATTTGAAGGGAGCGTGAACCTACTTAGCTTGTGGAAAGGGTTATGATATCACGGGAAACTTCATGAAGGACGTGCCATTCGAATTGAAACCTAACACGAGGCAGGGATTTCAACAAGTAGTGATAGAGAGAGAGTGGATTCCAGGTGTGGAGAATGGTCTCTGCATTTAGCCTAAAGACTCCAAAATGGGATCTGGGAACGTGTGAGTTTGGCCAGCTGAGTCCTTGGTATTTCCTGGAAGGAATTTATTTAAATTCGACAAGTTGAGAGCGCATGGCTGATATTTTGAGGGTACACATCTATCTAATGCAGTTCTGGGTCTGAGCCGTGTCTAAAACCATGTGTGACCATAGAGGGAACAAATTAATCAATAAACACTTAGTTGCCTACTGTGTGCCAGGCACTGTGATAAGCCCTGAGGATACAAACAAAGTCAACTAAAAAAAAAAAAGCTTTAATTATTATGTATGATATCGGAGCCTAAAGGTAATAAATAAGCTATGTTACTGAGATGCTTTGAGGATTTTTTTTTGAGGGTGGGCTAGGCAATAGGTTTAAGTGACTTGCCCAAGGTCATACAGCTAGTAAGTGTTATGTGTCTGAGGCTGGATTTGAAGTCAGGTCCTCCTTCCTGTTCTATCCACTGCGCCACCTAGCTGCCCCAGGAATTTGACTATATGTGTAGAGTATTTTATCTAGTTTTGCACAATTAATCCCATGCAGATATTAACCAAGGCTTATATTTTGCATAGTATGCCTTTTTGTTTTTATTACTTCACAGATATTTTGACAATTTGCTTTATGGTTACCATGGTAAATACTTGATCAATCAGCATAATGATAAGTATATATTGAATGCTTCTTATAAGAATAGCAGTTTTATGCATGTAAAGTACTTTGTAAACCTTAACACACTAGAAACATGCTGATTTTTAAATTATTGTCATTTTTTGTTTGATTATTTAGATATGTTTGCTTATCTAGGCATCTGGGTGATGCAATAGTGGATATAGGGCTGGGCCTGGAGTCAGGAATCCTAGCTGTGTGACCCTGGGCAAGTCATTTAACCACTGTCTGCCTCAGTTTCCTCATTTATAAAAGGGAGATGATAATAGATCACCTGTCACAGAGTTGTTTGATAATATTTGTAAAGCACTTTGCACAGTGTCTGGCATACAATAAGTGCTTAATAAATGCTTCTTCCCTTCCATTCTATTCTGTTCTATATAAAATATCTGAACATGACTATTTTTGTAAAGGGAAAATAGTCTTTTTTTTATCTTGTTAGTTGGTGGACCATTGCTGGAAATAATTTTAATAAGTGGAGCCCAATGAATCACAGAGATCAGCTGTTGGCTAGTTGCTATTTACATTTATATTTATGTCTTACATAAAGGCTTAGATAGCTTGCTTATCAAATATGCAAGGCCATAGAGCTGAGAAGAATAGCTAACACACTAGGTGATTATTCTGGTTACCAAAAGATCTTTATAAGCACAAATATTCAGGTGAGTGAAATAAAATGAATTTGAAATTTGAATGTAAGGTCTTACAACAAGGTTCAAAAAATCAACTTCACAAACACCAGGTACAGGAAGAATGGCTAGACTTCCATTCATATGAAGAAATATTTGGGATATTTAGTAGACTGCAAGCTTCATGAGTAAGGATTGATATAGCAGCCAGAAAAAGCTGGCATGTTCAATGATGTTAAGAGAAATACAATGTCTAGATTGAGAGAAGTAGGATACCATGGTTAGAAAGCCTTGGTAGTATTGTATTTAATTAAGTTTTATGCAGGACATTGATAATGTAAACAACATCCACAGGAGGACAAGCAGGATGCTGCAATGGCTTAGGGTCATGAGGACCATTGGAGCACACAGAATTTATAGTCTGGAGGAAAGATAACTGTGTGGGACGTGACAGTTATCTTTAATTATTTGAAGGCTGTCATGTGGAAGACAAATTAAATTTGTTTGCTTGGACTCAGAGGGCCATTGGATGGAAACTAGAGGGAGACAGTTTGAGGTTTGATGTCAAAAGTACCTTCTCACAATACTGTAATTAGAGATCTCCAGAAGGAATGTGCTGCCTCAGGAGGTAGTCATTTTCTTTTCACAATAAGTCTTCAAGGGAATGATTGGGTAAACATTTTTGTTTCCCTGTGATTTGTTCCAAATCTGAAATTCTATAATTTTGTGAGCAACGTTGTTAGGTGAATACATCTTTAGAAAGCAAGTTGTCACCACTAATTAATTACTCATTCAAAAAAACATTTAGTACTTAATATGTAGAAGGCATTGTGCTAAACCCTGAAGGAGATGCAGAGATGAATACAGCATGGCCCCTGTCCTCAATGAGCCCAGATCCTTTTTCAGATCAAAAGTTATCTAGTCATTCCTTCTCTATCTTTTTTTTTCACCCAAAGATAAGGTTTATTAGAACATCCATCATATTGGGCAGACTCTTAAGGAGTCTGAACATTAGTAAACTATTGTCTAGATTATAAGAATCTAACCAGTGGCTAGCTTTTTAAGAATCCGAGCCCCTTAATGGAGACAAGATGGACCTTATATTCTGAAAGCCTGTGGGAGGGATCTAGGAGTGACCAAGTAGTTTGGGGTGACTGAAGGAGGGGCCTAAGGAGATCCGGATGGGAGGGGCCAGTAACCTGGGGTGAACTGAACTCCTGGGACCTGGACCTTGAGGCCAAGGGGGAATGGAACCCACCTAGGATTAAAGGAGGGAAATGGCCAGGCCATACATAGCAAGGTAAAACGAAGGAAGGCCAGGCTAGATTAACAGAATTGGGAGACTGGGTGTAGCCACAATAAAAGGCCAGTTGATGGGAGTATACCCTCAGGTGAACACCAGAGATTTGGCCAGGTGGGAATGTCCAGAGTTTTTCCTTTCTGGGGCCTGGATCCCAACCCCAGCATTCCCCCCTCAAACAAATGGGACTCAAATTCTTTTGGAGTAGTGGGTGAAGGTCTTGGCTTCTGAAACTGCTTCCTGCTGGCAAGGGGCATAGAGCTGTCCCTGCCTCGAGGGGGTCCCAAAGAGGAGGTTGACTGGAACCAAGCACAGGCTGTATCTAGGGAACCATGTGGGGACCTTGGCTGGTACTCGCTGTTTGCTACCAACTGTAGGTGAATGGCCCATAGTCTGGAAGACACAAATCTGACAAAAAAAACTACAGGGCCCAGATATAGAGCAGGGACTCGATTTAGGGCCCAACTTTGAGAGGATAAATCACCCTTAGCTCTGTTTGGATTCAGATAATTCAGTTTTCCAACCATGCAGTATCAAGTCCACCTCATAGCCAGACTCAGGAATAGCCAGGTGGGTGACATTTCCTTTCAAAGCAACATAATGGGAAAACTGAACCAGGAGGATCCCATCTTGGACTGAGGCTAAAATTGTCCTCTCAGCTTTTCCCAATGCTGACTTCTCTGAGTAGCTTGTGGCATTTCTCTCAGATGGTGGATTATTGATTATCGATGGATTATTATGATCCATCACACAACTCAAAATAAAATCCTATGAGCTTTTACCTCAAACAGCAAGTTTTACTAATCACAGCTTAGGAAAAACTTTTCCAGGATTTACATCTCAAACTTAAATTTGTCTTGGTGTGAAAAGCCGATCATTAGAGATTTTTATGTACTTGCAAATTCTCAGCAAGCCACACATAACCCAAACAAGCTTTTCAGCTAGTTTACGCATTAAAACAATAACCAACAACAGGCAGACTGTTTTAGGGGTGACCAAGTTATGAAAAGTTGCTTGACGTAACTGATGCAAAAAGTTCACCAATTTGAAACTTGAAACAAATCCATTACCCGTCAGGTGACTTTAATTTTGTTAAATTAATTTCCAAATTACTTTACACAGAGAATCAACATCTCATCATTAACAACTAAAACTATAGATTTAAAAGAGCATGATTACCCCTAGCTTCATTACCTTAAGAAGGATGTGCTGAACCTGGGTGATGCTGCCAGGAAAAGGTTGCCCTAGAGCCCAAGGCCATTGCCAGGGGGGCCCAGCTGTAGCTGCTGCCATTCCCCCCCCCCCAGCCCGTCCTTCCTTTCCCAGGTGGGGAAGAGTGAAATCAAAGGTGAGGGGTAAAGGGTGAAACTCTCTTCTTCTATGAGAGGGGTTAACAGATACCCTCTTGACCAGGTTGTACAGGTGTTTCAAAACTCCTTAATGATCAATCACAAAACCTTCAGAACATGCCAAGATATTTTTAGCTGTTCTAACTTTCCCTGTAACCTCCATGAAGGAGGATTCAGAGGTGCAGAGGGAAGGGAGTAAGTAAGCCTCAGGGAACCAAAAAGCAACTTCAGCTTTCCCCAATTCCCTAGCGCTGAGGGAATTAACAGAATTGACCATACATTTCCGGGTGGGGTGTCCATCCTTGTCCTCTATGTTGTGGAAGGCGTACCGAGGTCCATGGCCTTCAACCGACCCAGTGACCAAGAGTCTGAGAGTGTCAGGCCGATTGAGAGACAGCGTCATAACTGTCTGCCTGAAAAGCACCTCCAAGCCTTGGTGCTTGGAAATCAACCCTAACTGCAGAGCAAGAAAGGAGGGGAGGGGGGAGGTTTACATACCTTCCAGTCTTGCCTGGAGAAGAACTTGGGGTTAGGCAGTTTCCCCATATGGGCCAACAAAATGATGTGGTTTAGGGGTTCAGGGTGTTGGGACCCCAATATCACAACACACGGGCCCTGCCTGAAAGAATTTTACTCAAGCCTGCTTTCAGCCAAAGACAAGGTTTATTAGAACATCCGTCATATTGGGTAGACTCTTAAGGAGTCTGAACATTAGTAAGCTACGGGCTAGATTATAAGAATCTGAGCCATTCTTTCTCTATCTTGTATCCTTCATTCAATAAACATTTAGTTAGTACCTACTATCTATAAAATATTGTGTTATGCACCAAGGATAGATAGATAGATAGATAGATAGATAGATAGATAGATGGATGGATGGATAATTTATTAAACACAGTGCACCAGGCACTGTCCAACAAGCAGGCAAGTAAATTTTTGCCCTTAAGGAGCTAACATTCTCATGGATGGGAGCAGTGGACAACAACTCATGAAAGGGAGTTGGAAATGGGACGGTACACTGTCAGTGCCATGGAGGTATTCGTGGAGTATTGTCATGGCCTTGACCCCAGCTAAATAAGTCCAAAAGTAATCTGTCAGAGCCAGGGGACGCAGGGATAGAGCTGAATGGTTGTAATGGGGAGGAGAAAGAGATGGTGATAGAGGAGCTACAAAGATGAAGAATCTTCCAAATAGGAAATATGAGGTATTTACAGCAAGAAATATAATGAAAAGTACAGCTTGATAATTGCCTAAGAGAGTTATGAACAGAATACTATGAGAGTTTAGTGAAGGATCAAATAACTTCTGGCTAAAATCATCAGAGCAGGCTTCGTGGAATTTATGGGGTAAGTGGCATTTGAATGGGTCTTGAAGTATGGATAGGATTTCAATAGCTGAAAATAGAGTGTGTTGATATGGGAGTGAGAATTACAGTCTAGGTAAAGGAAATACCTGAACAAAGTCATGGTACAGGATTCGTTACACACACACACAAAAAAAGGGTAGACCAATTGAGCTAAAGCATGAGATAAAGTTAGGCACTGTGAGGCAAAGAAGAAAAAGTAGATTTTGGAAAGCCTTCACTGATGGGCTAAGGAACATGGCCTTAATATAAAAAGGCAGCATGGGAACTACATATGGTGTTGGAGAATTAGGTTGGCAAATCTGGTATTGGGTATTTAGTATCTTTATTGGATAAAGAAATGGTTGATTCTAGGTAGAGATCAGTTAGTTAGGAGACCATTGCAATAATCCAACCCACCCCCAAAAAAGCCCCAAAATAATAGACCCAACAAAATAAGAATTTAAGCTATAGTGATGTCAGCAGAGAAAAGGAGGAGTCTATGTGAAAGATTACAGAGGATGAATTGATAGGATTTGACAGCAGCTGGTTGAAGGGGGAAGAGAAAGGCAGCTAAATTAATACAAACAGCTTTCTTTTTACTCCTATTTTAAAAGGTATTCTTTAATTTGTTGGTGTTATTATTTTAAATTAATGTGATTATGTTTGCTTCTATGGTTTTTGATCTAGAAAACCCCATTATTTTAATTGGTCTTTATTGTTAAATAAAATAAATTGGAATGTGAAGATTTCTCTTCTCCAGCCTAACCTAATTGTTCTGATGTTTATTGTCTTAACCACTTCTTTTGGGGAAGAAAAAACAGGTTGCCTGCCAACAGAAAAATCTTATTGAAATGCCTCCAGATATTTGTTTTTACAGTTTGTGTAGTCTTTTTATTTGATGAATAGCTGGTTTGTTTAAGAGTTGAATGCTCCTTTACAAGAATGAGTTTTGAATTACAAGGAGTTTTACTCTGTTCTTCAGCTAATGACTTTTTTTTTCTCACATCGGGAATCTTTCAAAGACATTTCCTAAAATGGGTAATGCTTTTTAAATTTGCTTGAGAGTCAGGTATGATTTTTGAAAGCTGGGCAGAATTTGCAATTTAGACTCTGTTCCCTAAGCAAAAATTTGACTCGTTTGTGATTATTCTCTTTTTATTCATTTGCAATAACTGAAGACATAGTGTAGGTTTCTGTGATCAATTGTTATTTCTTGCAAATTCTGCTACTTGGAAAACAAATATTTATATTACTTTCTTAACAAAGGATCCTTGTACCCCTGGCCTTAGTCACCCACATGTGTGACTGAGAAACCCTGGAAACAGAGTTGTGTTTTCAAATGAACTTCCATAAAGGAGTTATTCTCTGCCCAACTGAGGTGAAGAATACCCTAAGCTCAGGTTGGGTGGGCGAGGTCCTAATCAGTTTGGAAAAATACCAATCCCACACCCACACAATGGAGCCCTTATTCAGAAACTGGATTTCCAAGTTTGGGGGATTTCCTCTCTTGTACTGTAAACAGCTTTCTAAAATAAGTTGGCGTTTCTTCTTCTTTCTTCCTTCCTTCCTTCAGTGGAATTAAATGACTTGCCTAGGGTCATACAGCTAGTAAGTATCTGAGACCAGATTTGATCTCGGGTCCTCCTAACTCCAGGGCCCATTTACTGCACCACCTAGCTGTCCCATTTCTCCTCCTTTCTATGACAGGCTTCTGGACTCCATATTGATGGGAATAGCTTTTTTTTTTTCCCGTGTACCTGCTATTTGTGTGGGGATAATAAAGAACTGACATTTTCTTGCTATCATTTCCCCTAGAAGTGGTTTGAATTGGGCAAAGTTAGGGTTGTAGTATGAAGACCCAAATCAAACCTGTGGTCACTTCTTGCCCCTTGTTATTGGATTCATGGAAGGGCTATAGATCTTCTCTTGCATTTAAGAGATAAAAGAGATTGCTTATCATGTTGGAACCTGTAGGAAATGAGGCTCATTCCCACCCACCCTTATCTCCACCACCACCACCATTGCCATCTTGGAATCTGGCTGGAGTAGGGAAGGGGGAGGTGGGTTGGGAAAGACATGGGGTAGGGTGGGCATGGGGTAGGAGTGGGAGGAAGACACAGTTTGTACAGACAAAGTCGGGAATAAATATTATCCTTGTGAAAAAAGAGAGATTGCTTAATTTAAGCTTGTTTTTAATCACACAGATCTTTACATTAGTTTCTGGAGTGTTCACCCTACTCGTTTCTACCTCTTTGTTCCCTTAGCTTCAAATCTCACCTCGAGGGAGGTCTTTCTCATCCTCCTTCACCTAGATGCTGGTGCCTACCCCTCTGAAGTTTCCTCCCATTTATTATAAATATGTCTCATCTGTACCTAGTTATTTACACAAACTTCATCAGAATGTAAGCTCTTTGAGGCTAGGGGCTGTTTGCACCTTTCTCTGTATGCTCAGGACTTCACATAGGACCTGGCACATAATTGGGATCTAGTATGTTTCTTTATCAAGTGACTGACATTTTGAGATCATAAAGAAATGTGTGCACAGAGACCCTGCTTCTAAGGGATTGGAATGGGGCTCAGATTAGACTCTCTGAGAGTCGACCTCATTATAGTGTGGCAAGGACCCTAAGTTCTCCAAGGTTATGCCTGTGGAACACTAGTTAAGTTAAAATGAACAAGCATTTATTAGGCACCTACTATGTGCCAGGCATTTTGCTAAGCTTATATATAGATGGAAAAATTTCAAGTATGGCCTGCTGTTTGTCTCTATGGCTAATTTGAGAGATTTGCCAATAGAAGTTGGCCATTGGGCAATAAATTTTCCTGGATGCAGCAGCTTATGAAGAAAATTCGTGAAGGTAGAGATGGTTTATAATTGTACTGGCAAAAGGAGTTTATGCTTATGAAATAATTGAACTTTTGATATACTGAAATAAAAGTACATCAGATAATGTACGTGAAGTGTGAGGTAATGGAAACAGTGCTGGGTATAGAACCAAAGATCCTGAGTTCAAATCATGCCTCTGTTATTAACCACTACAGTATAACTTTAGGTAAGTCTCTTAACATCTCTGGTCTTCAGTTTGTCCTTTTGCAAAATGGAAAATTTAAACAGGATGACCTGGAAGATTCCTTCCATTTTTAATCAATGATGACTGCCAAGTCCTCAAGGGACATAACCTTTCTACTTTAAGAAATACAGCCTGTACAGAATTACATACTCATGGACATATGCAAGCTAGATATTAAATATTGTAGTTTTAAAAGAATTAAATGTTACATTAACTTTGTCCCCCCTCTCCAGAAAAATCATTGCCCCTCTTGTAACTCGGCATGGAAAGCTATGGTCCAACTTCTGGGGAGCGCTAAGTCCTGACGGGTATTATGCTCGATCTGAAGATTATGTAGACATTGTCCAAGGCAGCAGAGTGTAAGTTGAATCGTTTAATTATTAACATTAAATACCAATATCAAAGGATCTGCATACAAGAATTATTTTTAATTAAAAAATGTTTCAAAAAGTTTTCATGTTTTATGGATAAATGGACAACTCCCAACCTTCTGGAAGCACCTATATCCCATTGCTGAATATGACCTTATCATTGATCTTCTTATTGATACTTTTCTAAAGTATTGTTGCTCAGAATTTTGTTTAGAAAAAAAATTACAATGTGTAGAATATTATTCCTTAGAATAGACATTGTAAAACTTTCAGACTCTATTGGCTGGTGTTTCAGACAGTGCATGCAGAGGACTAAATAATTATAAAGTGCTCCATAAATAGAATTTGCTCTGAAAATAATCTGAGATTTGGACAAGGGATCTAAGGTTGATTAGAGTTTCTCGTGGGAGATGGTGATAGTCGTAGCCAACATGCATATGTTGCTTTAAGTTTTGCAAAGCACTTTACACACATTCACTCTTTTGATTCTCACAACAGTTCTCTAGAGTAGGATATGTTATTATTTCTCTTTTACATTTGAGGAAATAGAGGCTCAGAAAAGTTAGGCGACTAACTGCTAAGCGGCAAAGGCAGAATTTGAACTCAGCCCTTTCCCAACTACAAGGCCAGTATACTATCCACTCTGCCAGCTCATTTAAAAAATATCCTATTTATGTAGTGTGTTATTGGAAATCTGTAAAATACTTTGCTTAAACAGCTAAATTCCTCAAAGTTTAATAGAGATAGAGATGCAAGCTGTGATTTCATCCGTTAAAGGGAATTCCCAGGTGAGGGAACTGTCTTCACCAGTACAGATTGACAGCTTTTCTGCTGTTTATATTCTTAGAGAATTGGCTAGAGCACAGAGAGGTTCAGTGACTCCCAGGCTAACATAGCCCATAAGTGTTGCAGTCAGAGCTTAAAGGAAGGTCGGCCAGTCTCCAAGGCCAGTTCTCTATCCGCTATGCCAGGCTGCCTATTATGTGTATAATGAATGGTGATGATAACAACAACTCATATTTGTATGGTGAGTGCTTTACTATCTCAGTTTCTAAGTATGAGAAATTAGATCCTTACAATGTAAATATGAGTGACAATGCATTTAAAAAATGTAGAAAATTCTCTTCCCATGTGTTTTTCTTCTCAGAAGCATTTACATACTAAATTCTATTATTTTCTTTTTGCTTTTTAAACTTTTATTTAGTGTGAACATATTCATTTTCAAGGAAATAAATGAATAAAATTAAATTAGCCACCTGAATTCTCACAATCATTTCAGCCCTGCTTAGAAAGAAAAGCACAAAATTCCACAATTACAAAAAAATTTATATTGTGTGTGTTTTTTTTATTTCCTGTACAGTGGAACAGTTAAAATTATAGGATCCTTGGTTTAAAGATGGACAGCTAGGTGGTGCAGTGGCTAGAGTGCCTGGCCTGGAGTCAGGAATTCCCATTTTCCCTAGTTAAAATCTGGGCTCAGACACTTATTACTAGCTGTGTGACCTTGAGTAAGTCACTGAACCCTGCTTGCCTCAATTTCTTCATCTGTAAAATGAGCTGAAGAAGGAAATGGCAAACCATTTCAGTGTCTTCGCCAAGAAAACCCTAAATGGGGTCAGAAAGAGTTGACACAACTGAAAATGAGTGAACAGCAAAAGGTTTAAAGGTAGAGGACATCTTGTCCACTGCCCTCATTTTACAGATGAACCAACTGAGGAAGTGATGCAAAAATTTCAGGAGGTTAAAGGACTTGCCCAAGGTCACCCTGGTAATAAGTGGCAATTCCAGGATTCAAACCCAGGTCTTGACTTTGAATCCAGAATTCTTTCTGTTGTGTCATGTTGCCTCCCTTTTTGTGTTTTGCCTTCTCTCAGTGTAGAAAAGTATCACTTAGTATTAAAGGTTTACACTGAAATAAATATGAGTGTTGTAAAAAATACTTTTGAAAGCCATCCCTGGAAAACTGTCTGGTGCCACCAGTGTAAGGTGAAGGTGCCACTTCGTTATAATATTAAGTAAGTTTTTGTTGATCCTGGTATTGCTTTTATAAGCTGCAGCCTGATGTGAGCAGTGGGTAGTAGCAGGGTTAGAAGTTCATAGCTATAGGAACCTAGAGTAGAGCATTCAAATTTGCATTTAAATTGTTTTAGGCCCCGGCTCTGTTTGTTTTATTTTGTCTTTGTTCCTTGATGCAGGGACAGAAAAGTTTTTGATAAATGACCTTGATATAATTAATAAAAATAATATTTCATATCCAAAATCCACATTGGAGAATAGTATTAGCGCAACAAAGATATTGTGCTGTCAAGTCGTCAGTTTTATTAAAATTGAATTATTACATATTCTGACAATGATTACTTTTTCGCAATCCATTGTGAGATATTTTTAAATGTACAATTCCTTTACCACCAGAAAGCCTTAATCTGCTGATTTTTCCTGTTATGAAATTCACTGACTTCATTCCCAAGGAGGGCATACTCTGCTTGCTTTCAGCCATGTTGGAAATACTATGACTACAATCTAGGCAATAAATTATTTCTACTTTCTAGATAAGTATGGAAAGTCTTACATCAGCAGGCTGGTCCCTATAGATTATTACTGAACATTGCAACCTCTAAGATAAAGATAAAAACCAAAATGGTTCTCAAGCATGTGTGACCTGGGTTTGAATCCTGGTATTGCTACTTATTACCAGGGCGACCTTGGGCAAGTCCTTTAACCTGCTGAAATTTTTACATCACTTCCTGAGTTGGTTCATCTGTAAAATGAGGGCAGTGGACAAGATGATCTCTACCTTTAAACCTTTTGTTGTTCACTCATTTTCTTGTTCTTTATAGCTGTCCCTCCTTACTCTATCACCATCAATGTAAACCAGAAATGGACCATAGAGTTGAGGGTCAATGGAAATGAACCCCATAGAAGGAAAGGCCAATGAAAAAGAGCCACGGGTATTTGTGCGTGTGTGTGTGTGTGTGTGTGTGTGTGTGTGAGAGAGAGAGAGAGAGAGAGAGAGAGAGAGAGAGAGAGACAGAGACAGAGACAGAGACAGAGACAGAGACAGACAGACAGACAGACAAAACTGGAAGTTACTTGGGACAAGAAGCAAAGAATCCAGGAATATCCTGGAAAAAAAAAAGTGAGAAAGCAGAGTAACCTTTTCCTCCCTGGTAATTCTCTAATTTCTAATTTATGATTTAGCTGGAGACAACTCTCATGAGTTTATAGAGAGTTTGAAAACAAAATCTGTTGTCGATAGTAGGGAAAGCACACTCCATCTCCAAAGAACAGAAGCAATTATTAAATAACTACTATGAGATACTGTGCTAGATATTGGAGCTATAAAACTGAAAAAAAAAAACATAGTCCTTGCCTTCAAGAGGCTTAAGTAACTTGATTATTTTTAAGGAGTGGGGCTTTATACACACATATCAACACATATATTTATTTTTTTAATATTATGTACATTTTATATAGAAAGAGGCAGCTGGGTGGCTCAGTGGATAGAGCTCCAGACCTGGAGTCAGGAAGATCTGAGTTCAAATCTGGCCTCAGATACTTACTAGCTACCTTACCCTGGGCAAGTCACTTAACCTCTGTTTGCCTCAATTTCCTGATCTGTCAAATGAATTGGAGAAGGAAATGGCAAACTGCTTCAGTATCTTTGCCAAGAAAACCCCATACGGATTTACCAAAAAGAGTCAGAAACAGTTGAGCAACTGAACAATAAACATGTGTGTATATATATGTATATGTAAACATATACACACACATATATATGTGTTTGTGTGTGGACAGACCTAGAGCTACGTAGCTGTAGACAGACATGTGTAAAAGTGGATGTATAATTTCTTTGGCATAAGAAGCTACAAATAAGAAAATCACCCCCTACCACCAATGCCATTCTACTATTAGCTTTTAATGTGTGGTTTTTTTTTCCGCTCTAAATTATTTTTCTGATTAATAAGCATTTATTTTGTTTCTTTCCTATTCCCTTGCCCTGAACAAAAGGAAAAAAAAAGGGACCCTTTCCCCCATAACAAATATGCATAGTCAAACAAAACAAATTTCCACATCAGTCATGTCCAAAATGGTACCTCATTCAGTCTTATAAATTCATCTCTTCTCTGGCAGGAAGTAGGAAATAGGCTTCATCTTCAGTCCCTCGAGAGCTCCTATCCATTGAAGTATCAAGACATTATTTCTTTGAGCCTGGTCCCTTATTTAGTCAGAGCATTTAATGTAGGTTATGCCAGTTGACAGATTCAATAATAGAATTAAAAATATTATTGAGCAAGGATGCAGTTCAATTCAACAAGATTGTCATTAGAAGACACATTGTTCAGCAGCCTATATTTGGATTATAAAATGTTGAATGTGCTCTTTACAGAGAATGGATTTACCTGTAACTTATATTCATAGAAAGCTGCAGTTTTCCCACAGTCACACAGCTAGTGTGATTGTGATGAAGGTAAGACTCTAACCCAGGTTGTCCTGGCTTGGAGGCCTGCCTTTTATCCACTTTGCTGTGCTGAGCTGCTTTTCCATATATACAAACACACAAAAATAACCATAATAAAAATTGCAAGTGCATAGGAGAGGTTAGACAGAAAAGTGTGAAAGACTCCAGGAAAGTGGATTCACTTCCAGGTGGGGGAAGTCAGAGAAGGCTTCATGGAGCAAATGACGTTGAAATGAACCTCGGGAAAGTGAAACTCTTCCATTCTTGTTCTCCCAAGCATGAGTCATAACCTTTCAGAGACAGAGGCTTTCCTGTCCTTGTACTTCACTCAAGTGGTCTAAACATGGAGGGAGCTAAAAAAGATAGCAGAAAACAATGTGAATTAAATTCTCTGTCATTACAAATTCTAACCCTGGGGTAGGCTGAGCATCTTGTATGGCATGGCTCATTCCTTCTGCCCAGAGAGTGTGTCATAGACTTGCTGAAAATCACGCTCTCTTCTGCAGAATGTTTCAGTGTGCATAGTTTAAGGGAAAAGCGAGGTATGTTATTTATTCAAGCTGTCAGGCAGGAATTCTAAACTGGAATTTCTCCAGGAGGCCTGCAATTGGTGTTTTTTTTTTAACTTATTGTGAAATATCAGTGAGTATTTTATTGGGTCCTTTTGGTGTTACGGTGGAAGTAAGAATTGATTCTGAAGTCCAAGAACTAGATTGAAATCCTAATTTCCAAAACCTAAATGACCTAGAGAGCAAGTCACAACTTCTCCATACCTCAGTCTCTTTATCTACAAATTGAAGGTGGTGGCTTCAGAAGTTTCTGCTCTGAATCTAGGATTCCAATGACTTCATTTACACATGAAAGCTTTGATGTTATCAGTACAAATAGATGAAATACATCCTGGAATGTTTTGCATTTGTGATCTTAAAGAATGTCTCCTGTTTACTTTCATAGAGGGGTATGGAATATCCCATACATGGCTAATGTGTACTTGATTAAAGGGCAGACTCTTCGTTCCGAGATGAATGAAAGGAACTATTTCATTCGTGATAAATTGGACCCTGATATGGCCCTTTGCCGAAATGCAAGGGAAATGGTAAGGTGCACAAAGGCAGTTAGCTTTATTGTCTCTTGCTTTTCTGGTTGTTGTCATCATGTTTGAACTGTATGTATGTCTTTCTACTTATGAGTACTGGCCAATTTTTTTGAAATACCTTTCTGGAGAAACAGAATGATTGTGGCAAATTATTTTTTAAGGATAAATTTTTTCTCTTTCAATCCCAAAGAGAAAAATAATAGAAATGGGTTGGAGTAATTTATGAGTTAATAGTTCCAGGGCAGACAGTTTCTAGGTTATCTAATTTCTTGAATGTGCTGTTACATCTCTGGCCTCATTGCCTTTACACAGGTTGTCCCTTATCCCTGGGAATGTCCTTCTCCTCATCTCTGCCCCTTAGGATCCTCAGTTTTCCTCAAGGTTCAACTCAGGTGCCACCCGCTACTGCAAGTCTTATCCATTCCTCTTGGGTTGCCAGTTCCTTCTGCTTCCTTGAATGATCCTGCCTTTATTAAAGTGTTTGAAAACTGTGTCCCCTAGAAGAATGTCAGTTCCTTGAAAGCAGGGACTGTTTTTTTGTTTGACACCCACCATAAGTGCTCTTATACATAGTAGGTATTTAATAAATGCTTATTGGATTGACTTCATGGATGTCCTACATCTGAATGGACAGCCAAGACCCTGTTAGTGGGGTATCCAGTGGCCACCATAATGAATGAGTCTTGCCTTATTATTGTGGAGTGGCTGCTGACATCATCATCCTCACCTACAGTTTTACAGCAATTGAAAGTTTGTACAGCTTTTTAAACACATCTTTTTATTTGCTCCCCGTAATAGCCATGTAAAATAAGTATTGCAGTGTATATATAATAGTATTATTATCCTGATTTCTAGAGATGCAGATGGGGTCAAAAGGAATTGAGTGATTTTCCCATGGCCACACAAGTAGTGAACTTCAGAAGTCAGTTTTAAATCTAGGTTTCTCATGATTCTGAAGCCATCCTTATTTCCACCCAGAGGCATCAAATTCATCACTCAGTCTGTAACCCCCCCCCCATTGCCATTGAGACAGATTAAAATGTAACTGGAGAATGTTTAAGCAAATAAATAAGAATGCAACACAGATAATGTTAGTGAATGTATTTGTTTATTTCAAATAATCAATCTGTGGCCCTCCAGGATCTATTTCTTTTTGAGTCTGATGCCACTGATGAGTTTGATGCAATACAGCAGAATGCCTGGCTGTAGCAGGAATCCTCGTCTTTTAGGGACAAGTAATCCCGTTGGCTAGATCCCGTAAGCATTTCATTGCCTTTCTTTGGCAGAAGGGAGTTGTCTTCCTCAACAAATATTTATTGAACAGTGGCCATGGGTTTACTACTGTATTGGCCACTTACTTAGGGTAGATAAATTCCCAACAACCCTAGCTCTGACTAGGAGTGTTTTTGGCAAGAGGAAAAAAAAGTTTTGAATACCCTGCTGAAAAATATGATAGGAAAATTATGTTATGTCTAATATAAAATATATTAAAATTTATAGTTGGTCTGAGTAGAAATATTTGTGACTGTACCCCCCCCCCCAGCAATTTTACTGTGCAGGGATATCGGTTTTCTCGTGAATTTTCAGTCTATTGGCATAATGTACAGTAGGGATGTATAACTGAACAGGCATCCCCCAAAATAGTTGATTATGTTCTTTAAATTCATATGCAAAGTTTTTCTTTTTCTCTTCTTTTTAATTCAGAACACATTTCCCCATAGAAACAATATTTTGCATACTTTTATTATCTAGCCTGAGTCCCTGGCCATCACTTATAACATTTTCTTTCAGTTAGGAAGATGTATGTCAAGGCCCAAACAAATGATTAGCAATTGGAACTTTTGGAACACAATCCATTTATAAATTGGGGGCTAGCATAGTCATTGGCCCAGACCTGTTGTCTCCTATTTCTATGTCAGCGCATTTCATTAAAATTACTATGAAACAATATTTCTTTTTTTTACTTATAAATGTTTGCTTCTATTGTTTAGACTTTTTTTTTCAAGATTATGTCTCCCTGGCTATTCCTGATCTGATCACATTCTGATTGACCGGGATGACCTGCTTCATTTTCAACCTGGGCCAATTCACTCCCCATAGGGAACCTGGTGATTCCCCTCTCTTCAGGGCTCACCATATTAATGTTGAACTTGGTGTGGATACCTAATTGGTTAAGCTCATCTCTGCTTAGAACTCCCAAGATGGTTACCAACTGGATACATTCAATCTGTCATTTATTAAGTACCTATTATATGGCAAACACTGGCTGGACCCCAAGGAAAGATTGATTCAGGAAGTGGCTTTTGAGTTGGACAGTTTGGGAGCCATTTAGCTTTATTCCAGTATATAAAATGATATTTTAAATGCTCAAAAAAGTTGGCAAGTACTTTTTTTTTAAATTTAACCAAGGCATGTGGTGTTCTATTATGTTTGTTTTTCATATAAAATCAAATTCATTGTGATATTCATTGAATCTTCTTAGCTCAAGCAGTTGCAATCTTTGCACGACACGTGCTCGTATTCAGCTAATCTGACTTCACAGCACTTCACAGAATGGCCTTCTCTTTCGTCTTCCATCTGTTTCTTAACCCCGCGCCTCAAAACAAAAACAAGCCCTACTACAGCACGAGCTTTGTTATTACATATGAACAGAAATGGGGGCTGGAGTTGTGTCTTTGTCCTGTTGTGAGCTTGGCTTATTACTGCATGTTGTCCGTGTGGGACATTTCAGAATGTCAGCTTTTGATCAAGGCTGTTATTTTCTGTTTATCTAAGAATACCTGAGAGAGAGGATGGCAGGTCAACTTACACGATGCTTCTCCTTCATTTTAGACTATACAAAGGGAAAAAGACTCCCCTACTCCGGAAACATTCCAAATGCTCAGCCCCCCAAAGGTGTCATTTTATTTTCTTATATCTTTAGTTAATGTCAGATATAGCATATTGTCTTACAATAAATTTCTTTTCTTCTGTCTTCTTAGTTTGGTATATGTGTATATATATTTTTTAAATTGTGGTTTTAGACTATGTTTGTTTGGGTGGGGGGACTTGATTTTTGCACTGAACTGTTATAAAAGTTCAGAAGGTTGATGGAGCGTGGAACTGGTTGTAAAGGATACTGGGTTTCCATTAGTGTTCCAACATTGATTTGGTATTTATGGTTTAGAAATTCAAATGACTTTGCTCTCTGTTTTCCCCTTCTGTAAATCATGTTAATAATGTACTTAACAACAGCTTTTCAGGGCATTGCTATTACAACCCACTGTAGCTTGGAATGGGTATGATATGGTTTCATTTAGTACAGTCTGGTTTAGTTATTAAAAGCTCTACAGTCAGACATGGTGTTCATCATTTATTGATATGGTTGTGAAAACATCAAGATTGCCTTTATAGCTTAAATCAGTATACGTATCTGTTTTTTTAATTGTTGCTGAGGATTGTAATTTTCTGAAAGCCTGTTATTTTAATGATTGAGAAATGATGCAATAAAGCAGTGAAATTATTATTTACAAAGAGTTAGGCAGAGTTGAGATTGGTTTGTTGGTATACAGTTCTCTTAGTTGAGTTTGGGTTGATATTTTTTTGTATGTGTGAGGGTTGCACAGTAGATGGAAGCAACAAATATGAGCTTGGACAGACTTTGGGAGATAATGGAAGTTAGAAAGGCTTGGCATGTTGTAGTCCATGAGTTAATGAAGAGTCAGACGTGACTGAACAGCTGTATGCCCACATAGTCCCATTTTGATAGCTCATCATGACGCAGAGATGACCCTCTGGCCTTAACACATGTTTTGGCAAATTCTAGAAAGCTGGACAGGCTTTTTGTACAGGTCTAAAGTTGCCTGGGCAGAGGATTAGCCCAGTTATGTTCATAAAGACTCATCACCAGTAGGTGCCCACAGGGTTTTGAAATTTTCTTGACTACAGTAACTCATATGTTGGTCTGCTAAGTCATGGGTGAGCTGTTGTCTGCATAAGTAGAGGGTGTATCTACACCAATGAATTTCAGGTTGTTGAAGAACTAAATGAAATAAGTATAACAGTTGTGTGATTGCTCAGGGAGTAGTTAAAGGAAGCTCATACAAGACAAAAGAGCAGGAAGATTGTATTGGTTTATAAAAGGAAAAATTTTTATTGAAAAACAATTTTAGTAGTCTGGTTTGTATAATGTTTCCACATTGCACCACCTAATTTTGATGGAAAGCATTGAAAATTGGACACAGTTTAACGTATCTGCCGGTATTATATTATTTTAACTTTTTTTCAGTCTTAAAATTGTCTTTGATAATCTTGGTTTTCCCCACTGTGGAGAAAAAAAATAACAACCAAAATTAAAAAAGCAAAAACAAAACAAAATTTTGTATGATTCTGGGACAGGTAGGGGGATAGAGATGTGGGAAAGATATAGTACCAAGAAACAGAAAATTATTTTTCCAAATTTCCTTAAGAGGCTGAAAAAAATAGTTACTTAAAAGAAAAAAAAATTCTTTTAGAAACACATTTGCTTTATACTTGATTCTGTATGGTAACCTTCCTCTAACATGATTACCTCTATGTATGTGTTGGTGACACAGTCAACTCTTGATTATTTGGACTCTGATGGGCAACTTTGTGTTCCCTGCTCAATATCATGTTTGTTATTGAGCAAAAAAGGGGGAGGGAAGAGAAAGCTAAATTTAAATCAGTCATTTATGATATTATTTGGAACTAAAAGAGTTAGGGAATGACTATGATAGATCAGAGATCTGACTAAAACAAGGTTGGGGAAACATGCGTGAGTTCCATTTGTTGATGCTGTAATTCTAACTATGTCCCATCAAATAGATACTCAAGAGTTGAGTGTTGACTGTTCTCTGCTTAATTTGAGGGTATGACTCTTTTTTAACTAGTAGTAGTGGTAGCCTGCTTTCTCATGATCTGTGATTTTGTAGGTATCTGACAACAAAGTGTAGTGTGATAAATTGTTATTTTAATGCTTTTTCTTTTTTCACAGAATTTGTTCTGTTTGAAAGAGAGAGGAAACAAAAGATACAGGCACTGTATTTGCCTTTGATTTCTTAATAAGATACTTTTTAAAGTGATAGGGACTGAACCTTTAATTTCATTGGTAGGGGGAACATCCCCAACCAGTGCACTTCAGCACCTTTTATGTCATTTATCATCTTATAGAATTGTCATCCAGTGCTCTGAGTGCTCATGTCATTTACACAAAGCCAAGATGTATCAGGTCTTGAATCCAGGTCGTCCTGGTTTCAAAGCCAGCTCTCAATCTGCTTTACCAAGCTGCCACCATTCATTAAAACAAGAATTTACTTTCTGACGTCTGGTTTTAGAAGTCAATGAGAGAGGAGTAAAATCATTCCATTCTAGCTCTATTTTTTTTAAAGTTGCATGTGAATGATGCCAACTGTTTGTGTGTGTGTGTTTGATTAAAAAGAAAACCAGCAAAGTACTAGACATTATTTTATTTTATTTAAATCATGTGTACATTTGAGCAAAAATGAAGATGTGTGCTCATGTATGAAATATAAAAAAGGAAAATATTCTTATTTAAAATGTTTTTCTTCCTAGCTTAAGTTAATTACCTTGCTGTTTTCATCTAAAATTGCTAATAGTATTCTCTTTGCTACATAGGGTGTGTTCATGTACATTTCTAACAGACATGAATTTGGAAGGCTGTTATCCACTGCTAATTACAATACTTCCCATTATAATAATGACCTGTGGCAGATTTTTGAAAATCCTGTGGTATGTATTTGAGTTGACAGTGACTTGATTTACCTGTAATGTTGAATGGGTATGACACACATGGATAATTAATGACTAATAGGTACAAGATAACGTATGTATTCCTTTGCATCTACATATTGTTCAGGTAATGATCCCGACTAGATATGTAATGCCATTCAGAGCTAGCCCAGATCTGACCCTGAGCTCTTTACTGCATGTGAAAATTAGATTTAAGTGAGATTAATCATTCCTCCAATCTGGAAGGTTTCCACTAATCTGGAAGGCATCAATATTTTGTTCTCTAAAAAGCATCCTCCTATTTTTCATCTCTAGCACTCAGAGAAAGCTTGTTAGAGCAAGTGCAACATGACAGACTGTAGTTTGATGCACACGAGTAGAATTCCAGATGCTGGTTTGGAAAACGCATACTTAATCTTGCTCTTCTAAAACATGTCATAGTGCTTATGAAGTTGCATGAAGAGTGGCCAAGAAACATTTCATGGACAGGGAGCTGTCTCATTCAGAAGATGAGGAAAGTCTGGGTTTAGAAAAGAATACTCCTTGAACTTTTTTTCCCCCTTTTAACAAAGTTTCTTTTTTCTCTCCCTTTCTTTCTTTCTTTCTTTCTTTCTTTCTTTCTTTCTTTCTTTCTTTCTTTCTTTCTTTCTTTCTTTCTTTCTTTCTTTCTTTCTTTCTTTCTTTCTCTCTCTCTCTCTTCTCTCTCTCTCTCTCTCTCTCTCTCTCTCTCTCTCTCTCTCTCTCTCTCTCTCTTTTCCCCTTCCTTCCTTCCTTCCTTCCTTCCTTCCTTCCTTCCTTCCTTCCTTCCTTCCTTCCTTCCTTCCTTCCTTCCTTCCTTCCTAGGACAAATCTTTCACTATCTCAATGACTGCGTACCTAGTTTTTCATTAGGCAAGTTGGCATGCTTGTACAAGGGAAAGACCTGACTTATAGCATCCACGAAGCATCAACCTTTATAGTTTGTTTGTCCTTATAATCATCTTAACTCAATTTCAGTGTGTCTGATGAAGACTGCCTTTTATTTTCAGTTTTTATGGGAGCAATCAGCATCGAGGGAATAGTAATATCTGACTAAACTCACATATTCTCTTGAATAGAGCAGGGATCTCCTTTGAAGTCTTGGGACATTCAGATACTGTTTGTTCACTTTTGTTGTCTATCTGTCATCTTAAAGAGAGCAGGGCTGAAAGGGGGCTTTCCCTAGGGGGAGTTAAATTACCTATTTTACTTTAGCTTTAAAGGTTTTTTTTTGGAGGGTTGAATTATCAGGACCCTTGGGGAATTTTGTTTTCAATAGTGCCCTAAAGTATAGCAGGGACTGTAAAATTTCAGATTAGCATCCAAATCTCTGGAGGAGATGTATAGTAGGAGCCATAGGAACTGGGAAGGAACTATTCTTTTCCTCCTCCCCCTTCAGGGGCTTTATTTGTCTGTGGTAAGATTATCCTGGTTGAAATGGCTCCAAGTGAAATAATTAATGTGTGGGTTTCCCAGAATGATGAGACAGAAAAAAATTGAAGACAAAGTCTAAAATAGTTCCTCATACCTTATGCTAGATAGAATTAATGCATCAATATAAATTCTTGTCAAAATTCAGCAATCATTGTGAGATAAATCACATGCCTATTATATTAGGAATCATTCTTCATAGGGGGAAAAAAGTTTTAAATGTTATCCAAATGTTTTCATTTTTACTGCCTATGACTGTCAAATAAGAAGATAAAGAAAGTTTTTATCCCTGTGTATAAACAAAGCCTTCAGTACCTGTACATTGTATCAACTTGGGGAAAAATAAGGTGAAGGACTAAGGCAGATGTCTGAATTATTTAAAGGTAGAGAGGAGGGAAGGGGAAAAAATAAGCATTTATTAAATGCCTACGATGTGCCAGACACTGTGCTCAGCACTTTACAGATCTTCACAACAACCTCATGAAGCAGATGTTAGTATGATCTCCATTTTACAGTTAAGGAACCTGTGGAGAAACTCTGCCCAGAGTCACTCGTTGTCTGAGGCAGGATCTGAACTCAGGTCTTCATGATTCTAGGCCAAACTATCTAGCTGCTGTACCACCTCGGAGCTGACTCTAACTGGAAGATTCCCAAATGTCTATATATTCCGGGCGAAGTCCTTTGGGCTTGTTTTAGTTTGGGTTATTTGGATATGTCTTTGCCACTTCATTTGGCATGTGTACTCAATGACATCTAGTTCTCATGTAGCCACATTTTACTTCTGTGTAGTTAGAAATATGATTAAATAGAGCAAAGGGTCATAAGAAGAGAGATACATTGAATTCTGCTGGTTTGATTCTCCTTTTAATGACTGCTTTTTATATTTTCATGTGACCCAGTGTTTGCATTAAAAGGAGCTTTTTCCTCATAATAAAATGTTTGAGATGGATACATGTAGCTATTATGACTAAATATAAAGCAGACATGAATTAGGATACACATTTTTCAGCTTTGAATCCCTAAGCTATAATTATGGATATCAACATATGGAAATATTTGTCGAACAAACTTAATAGTTGTATTTATATATGTGATAATTAGAGATAACATTTTTATAGCACATTTAACTTTTACCAGGCTTTTTACAAATATCTGATTTGATCCTTACAGCATCCCTGGGAAGAGGCACTATTATTATTCTCATTTACACATAAAGTAACTGAGGCACAGAGGTTAAGTTACATGCTCAGGGTCATATAACAAGTATGTGTGGCTGACTGGATTTAAACTCAGGTTCTTCTGATTCCAGACCCAGTGATGTTCTTGTTGACCCCCCAGACAGAAGATGTCAGAGACTATTTCATTTTTTTTTTTGGCTTTGTATCTCTAGTGCTTATGATAATGCCTGGCACAAACCCTTAAGAACCATTATGAAAGAATGATAATAATAAGAGAAATGCAAATCAGAATTAGCAAATCAGGTTTCACCTCACACCCTGCAAAGTGGCAGTGAGGACAAGAGATGGAAATGCTTGATAAGTGGTTCTTGACTAAATGAATGCTTCACTCATAAGAACTAGTAATTATAATATTTGTGGTGAACAAATCTGAGAAAAAAGAAATTATTAGATCTGACAATAGAAATGTAAACAATAAAGAGTTAGGTAAGGGGTCAACCGTGGCATGACTTTTGGGCCAATGTATTCATTTAGCCTTAGCCATCAAATGTATACACATACACACCGACATACATACACCTCCTTTGCCTTACCTTCCCCACATCTTCCTAGATATTGATCAGCATGTCTATTATGATATAGAGAGCACTGTCAGAAACATTCATCCTTGGAGGATTTCATGAATATGAAACTCTAGGAGCCCTCCTTAAACATTTGTCATCTTCTAGAATGAGGCAACCAACATTCAAGTCAAAATATCAAATTTATGTTGCCATCAATTTAGATTGTACTCATGACAAGTAGTCACTGTATAAATAGCATAAACATTCTGTAAAATGCTTGAACTTCGTATTTCTCTGGTATGCCTATCCAAAATATGCCTGACTTAATCTGCTCAATTGCTTTCTTGCAGGACTGGAAGGAAAAATATATCAACCCTAACTACTCCAAGATCTTCACGGAAAATTTAGTGGAGCAGGTTTGTGATGATGAATAAAATGTAGGGACTTTGCTATTCTTTTTGGGAGGGGTATTAATGCTATATTACATTGAATGGTGGTAGAAGGATTGGGAAGATTGCTTATGGAAATGGAGTATATTTTGGTAAAATCTACTGGTAATAGTCAATTAGCAATGTGAGGATAAGAGTGACTATAGCTTATAATGAAGAGTGGTGAAATGGATTTTTTGAAAAAGCTTATTTCTAAATTCTATATAGTTTTTTTTTAAGAACATAGCAACTGGAAATAATTTAAGAACATCTGATAGTGACAATGTAATGTGATTTGCCAGCTTTAAAGTGATATATAGATATGAGCTTTTATTCTATCATGTGTCATTTTAATAGTCTTCTAACTTTAAAAAAAATCTATCTGCAACCATGTTGTTTAAAGGTGCATCTTAGCACTAACGAGCCTTTTGGAGCCTGATTCTGTGATTCCACCTTAGCCTTCCTTTACTACATCTCAGAGTGGTTCTGGTTGCTCAAAAACAGAGGAGAGACCCTTAACTGTTTTATTTCTCACCGTGGCCCAGCTGAGCTGGAGCAGCTCTATACAATCAGCTTTGCCAAACTGAATTCTGGCAAGACCTTGAGTGAATTCCTCTGAATGTGACAGTTTTTCTTAACCCTTCCCTTGGCCCTATATTTACAAACGTCTCACAGCCACCAGGCCACTGCTGCTTTTTTTTTTTAACTTTTTTTCCCTTTTTTTTTCTGTACATGTAAGCCATCCCATAGTTTCTTTAAGAGAAAGTTGCATGTATTGCTTCACTGGCCCCCTCGATCTTTATGCACTCATTCATGGGTTTCTTGTCTTGATTAAAACCTGACTTTGGCACAAGAGCAGATGTCCATCACGAGCTGAGTGCCTCACTGCAATTGTTTCACAATGAGTATGGCCCCCTTTATGAATGCCCCTGATGTATTAAAACTATCCAAATTTTTGTTTAAAGATATTGTTTCAAGCCCTTTTAGAGTTAGAGCCATTATCTCTCCAGCATACCAAGTCATTAAAAAAAAAGCTTTTTACGGTTAAACATTGTATGCTTTACTCATCTTTGACACTATCAGCAATTTTTAGGAAAATGATTTAAAGTGTTTTATATTGTAGTATCAGTTAGTGCTTGTATAGTCTCTCATCCCTTTTACTTTTGAATTTTCAATTAATAGTTAAAAACCCACTAAACATATGAAAATTCTGTTAATCTTGATGATTTCATTTCCTTTTATAGCCTTGCCCAGATGTCTTTTGGTTCCCCATATTTTCTGAAAAAGCCTGTGATGAATTGGTTGAAGAAATGGAACACTATGGACAATGGTCGGGGGGAAAACATCACGTATGTTGCAACTTTTAATATAAAATACAACATCTAGCTTATGGAAGTGAATGTTGAAAACTAAAAATAATTAATTAAAAATACTCTATCTGATGCTTATGAATAATGGGACTGATTATTAGAAGCAGTAAGATAAGGAAGTCAGATCTGAGTTTCTATTTGTATCAGGCCAGATCAAAGATATTAAACATTTTCAGTTATTTCATAGCATGATGAGAAAAGAACTGCACTGGAAGTCAACCAGGACATCTAGGTTCACTCTTGTCACTAATTAGTGATGTGATCTTAGGCGAATCACTTTGCTTTGTTAATGAGAGGCAGCTGAGGATAGTGGAGAGCACAATGGACTTGGTGTCATTAAGACCTGAGTCTGAATCCCCTCTTAGACGCATTATAGCTGTGTGATCATGAGCAAGAGACTTAATTCCTTTCCTCAGTTTCATTCTCTGTAAGATGGTAATAAGAAAACACCCAATTCATGTGGTTTTTTTTTAAATAATTATGGAAGAGGATGACAAATGCCTTACAAACTTTAGAATACTTTATAAGTAAGAACCATCATCATTATTCTTTAGCCTCCAGTTTCTTCATCAGTACTAAAACTCAAAGAAGAGGTAGAATCCATCAGTTCAGGTATTTCTTTTACTTTCTGTAATGCCAAGTTTCTAAAAGAACTCAGTGGATAGCTTGTTGGCTTTGGAGTCAGCTGGAAATTAAAGAGAACTGGTATACTCCAAAGTCTGGATTTGAACCCAGATCCTTGACAACAAATATAGGCTTCTTGTTATCTTGCTATATTGCTTTGTGAGGCCAAAAGGAAGTAGTAAGACTGTAGAAACAGCTTTCCTGTGGCAGATAATCCAAAATACTGCTCTTTTTCCCCCTATAAATAACGAAAGGAAAGCGATATATAATGTAACTGTGGAGTAACAAACTAGAAAAACCAGCTAAGAAAAATGCATCTCATTACTTTTTAGTTACCCATTCATGTAGATTTTTAAAGAGATTAGAGATTATTCTGTGTCATTGTGGCTAGATCATTTGGGTAGCTATGGAAATCCAGTAGTTACAGAAGCTACTTCGAGGTTGTAATTTTAGGGCAGATGGCTGGTCATTACTGAGCAGCTGGCTCTTTTACAGCCTGTCATGTTTTCGTTGTTGGAAAACTTACAAGAAAATTTAAATGCAAGTGGTACACAGGTCAGACTTTTTGTTGATGGTGATGATGTTGTTATTAGGATAGCCGTATATCTGGTGGTTATGAAAACGTCCCAACTGATGACATCCACATGAAGCAAATTGGATTGGAAAATGAATGGCTTCATTTTATCAGAGAATTTATTGCACCAGTTACATTGAAAGTCTTTGCTGGCTATTATACAAAGGTATTTAAGTCTCTCTTCCCATCCCCCCACCCCCACCCCAAGTTTTCTACAGAGGATGTGAGTGTTAACACAGATATTGATACAGATTCTTCTGGCTTATTATGTTGTCCCAGGGATTTGCATTACTGAATTTTGTCGTTAAATATTCTCCTGACCGACAGCGTTCCCTTAGACCCCACCATGACTCATCTACTTTTACAATCAATATCGCTCTCAACAATGTGGGAGAAGACTTTCAGGTAATTTAGAAACTTAAATATTTCATCTTTGAAATAGAAAAATGCCTGTCCTTGCCCAAAACCTTTCCTTTAATTTTCTAAAATAGTTTTCTTATTCAGACAATGTGGTTGAAATTATAGCACTCCTTAGAAAGTAAAATGAATTAACTGAAATAGCTCTCTGTTCTTTTCTTCATAGGGAGGTGGATGCAAATTTCTAAGGTACAATTGTTCTATTGAGTCCCCCAGAAAAGGCTGGAGTTTCATGCATCCTGGAAGACTTACTCATTTGCACGAAGGACTTCCTATTATAAATGGAACAAGATATATTGCAGTGTCATTTATTGATCCATAAATTATTTTCCTCCAATCAAATCAAGTTGCCTTTTATTTTTGGATGGCTGTTCTACAAAAAAAAAAGTCTGTTCAAGTTATCAGTGAGAAGAAAAGAGAATTATTTAAATAACTTCTACAAAGCAGCTTCACTTAGGACAAAAAATTTTAAAAAAGGCTTTTCTTTTAATTATTCCATACTTACATACAGATGTCTGCTCTGAGCCTCGAGTCACAGGTTGAAAGAGAAAAAAAGAAAAAAAAAGTTCCTATGCTGCTCTCAGAGAGGATGAAAGAATTAACTTTGAATTGGTTGTTTTAGTTACGAAATAATTTAGACACTAAGGTACAAGTGAAGTTTGTGGTTTGTAATGTTTATTTTCTAATTTTGAAAAGCAATCCCAGAAGAATTGTGTTTACTGCTGGTCTGGGGGAAACAGTCTAAGTGCGTATGATAGACAAGCAATATTTAAAGCCCAAGGGGTCTGGGATCCCATTGTGGTGTTGATTCCTGGCACATCTCTCTTTCACATATGCCTTAAAATTCACAAGCCATCATCTTTCTGATGAGGCTCTTAGAAGAAGCTTACTGCTTAAATGTCCTGAAGAAGAGGAAAACTGCAAAGTGTTCCTGTTACCTCAAGTATATATAGAGTGTGCGTCAACATGGAAGTGAACTGAGTTTCTTATGATCACCAAGTGCCCTTCAGTCCAAATGTTATTTTTGAAAAGCCGGAAAATAGTAAAAAAAAAAACCATAAAAAGTAGAAAAACTGCATCCAGATTATAGGTAAATTTTATAAATAACATTTTTTGTTTCAAGTACTTGAATTTTATATCAGGAAAATGAAGTTGTTGAGCCCACCTTCTTTCCCTTTATCCATATCTTCTTTAATCTTTCTATCCTTCCCCTACTTTGTTTCTTTGTTTTATTTTTCATTTGCCTCTGTTCTTCATTCCTCCATTCTCCCTTTTCTACTTTCTCCTTAACCCCTCTTTGGGGTGGGGGAAGGTGGTGGGTCCTTCAAAATAAGTGTGTTGTCTTAATTTTTCCATTTAGTTTAATGAATGAGGTTTAAGAATTCTTACTGTAGCTACTGTTTGTAATTTAAAGGTTAAACTTGAAAAAAAAACAACAAAAAAAAGAACTCTTAAGTCATGGTGCCAAAGACCATTATTCTAACACCATGTGTTAGAAACTTGTGATAAATAAAAAACAAAGAAAGAGAAAAATGTGGGTGCTTTTTTTAAAAACAAAAGATATTATTAAGGTTTTGCCCTTCTAAGCTTGTTTGTATGTTTCATACACACATACACAGACACACAGTAATCAAAGAAAAAATGAAAGACGAAAGGATATCTACTCTTCGCTATTTACACACAATGCCACAGAAACGTGTGTTACCTTTTCATGATTTTTAACTTTTGTATTCAGCATATTTAGTGCTCTTAAAACACAAGCAAAGATTTTCATCAGGAAAAAAAAATTGTTCATAGAATTTCTAGATAGTTCAATTCATATGGCACCTTAGAGATCACCTAGTCTAATCCCGCCCGTTTTCTAGATGACAAAATTGAAGGCCAGATAGCAATTGGTAACTTGCCCAGCCATTTTTGTAAGAATTAAATAGGAGAGATGTGACTGGAATTCCCAAGTCTAACTCATAATTTAACACTATCCATTTTATGCTGGTGACACAGAGCCAAGCCACATCTTTATCATAGAGCAACCAGACTGAGGAAACCTCTCTAGTGATGCTTTATGAAGGATGATATCATCGGGCCGTTTAGAAGTGGCCACTCTTACGTGTGTATTTTGACTGCAATTTTCATATTCACTCTAAATGACTTTATTGTGAAATACTAAAATTTGTAATTCTTGACATTACTGAACGCACAGTGTTTCACCCAAAGCATGTATGTGATTGTACATTGTAAATTGAGTAGTAAGAATTTCTTCTTCCCACCTCTGCTGCCACATGCCTATTTTCATTTTCATCTCTGAATGTTATTATGAGCCATGGTGTCAATGACATTTTACCAGGAAGGGAAATGGACACTTAGGAGCAGATATGTAGAAACTTTAAATTAATCAGTAAATCAGCCAACATTTATTAAGCATGAGCTGTGCATTGTACAATAGTCCCTGCCTTCAAGGAGCTTAACGAAAGTCTTGCTTGGGTACACATGTTCTCTGTCTCAGCCTCTGTGTCTCTTTCTCTGTGCCTCTCCTCCTTCTCTCTTCTCTCTGTCTGTCTGTCTGTTTGTTTGTCTCTCTCTCTCTCTACTTGTCAGAAGAACCAAATTCTAATCTTGGCTTTGGGTCAGTCACTAACCTCTTGATCTGTTTCATCATCTATTTAAAAATATAAATATCTGTACTACCTCATAGATTTCTTGGTATGTCATAGGATTTAGAATTGGAAGGGATGTTAGAGACCATCTAGTCCAGCCACATAGTCTTTATAGATGAAGAAACTAGGGAGCAGATAGGGAAATGCCCTGTTCAAAGTCACTGAGCTCATGAAATGCAGGGCCAGGATTTGAATCCAGGTTTCTTGAATTTCAAATACAGTGACCTTCCCAGGACACAATATGGCTACTATACCACGTAGACCTACCTCAGATGATGAATGTGAAAACGCCCAATCAACTGTAAAGCACCGGGTAAATATATACTGTTACCCTTTGTCCTGGAGTTCTACCAACCTTATAGAGAAGTCCATTTTTCTTTCTGTTAAGCTATGAAGCTCATCTTTGTATGAAATTTTTGGAACCTGTTAAAAGTTTTGTGAGGAGTTTGGTTCAGTCAGGGATTCTCCAAGCTGTAGGAAAGTTATAACCACAGAGACATTCTCAGCACATTTAAGATTCAGTCAGCTAATGGCTCCTTTAGAAAAGATGTTGACCAGGTTGGAAAGTTAAGGAAGTGTTTAGGAGTCTATGAAAGCAACCTTTGTTAACCAACTCAGAGGGGTGTGTGTGTGTGTGTGTGTGTGTGTGTGTGTGTGTGTGTGTGTGTGTGTGTCCTCACTGTGGTCCATTAGGGTAACATGGTACAGCTGTCTGCTTCTAAACAAATTATTATTTTTTAAAAAAAGGAAATAGTCATTGGAAGGGGGGAAGGGAGAAAAAAATAGAAATATTTAGGACAGATGAATATAGACTAAAATCTGAAGAAAAACTGTAGTCACAATTAGACATTATTAAGAGAACACATCATTAATTTAGTTTCAAAACAACAAGATCCATCTCATGTTTGTATCATAGATACAGAGTTAAAAAGGGATCTTAGAGACCATCTGATCCAATCCTTTGATTTTAAAAATGACCAAATGGTTACCTAGACAGGTTGACTCACATAAGTGGCAAAACTAGGATTTATTCTGAAGCAACTTCACATATTCTTACATCCTTTGATGTCTATCAATATCACTCTACAGTGCTAGATTTGCAGTTAAGAAAACCTGGGTTCAATTCTTTCTCAAATACTGGTTTTGTAACACTTAGCAAGTCACTTAACCTCTCCAGGCCTCAGTTTCCCCATATGTAAAATGAGAGAGGATGCTAGACAAGATTACTTCTCAAGTCCGTTCTAGCTTTAAACTGTGATTCAAATTCAACCCTCCACCCACTGTACCAGGTCTTCTTCTCTGAATCTTTTTTGGTGTCTTATACATTTAGAAATGCTCCTTGGTGCACTTGTGTAGATTTAAAGAATTTGAGTATGAGTTTTGATTTATGGATTATACATGTATCATGTCAAATATGATTTATCGAAACAGATTAGTAGTAAAATTTTTTGTAGAAGAGTTTTGTTAATGTGTTACTTTGTCTAGTAAACACAAGTTTTTCAGGGTGGGATGTGTGTGTGTGTGTGTGTGTGTGTGTGTGTGTGTGTTTTGAGAGATTATCACTTGGATATACTAATCTGCATTGGCTGAAAAGCAGGAAATCCATATTTATATTTTGAATCTGCATAGTAGATCAGTGGGAAAGAGCTAATGGATTTTTAAAAATCCAAATTCACAAATATTTGACTTTTTGAAGAATAAACTTTCCAAATGGAATATGGTAATTAAGGCTGTAACTCCCAAGTATAACTTTTAAATTTAAAAAAAAAATAGACTAAACAGCAGAAGAGTAAATAATGAAGGGGGAAAAAAACAAGTTGTAGGTTACAAAGACCCCCATTTGACCCCACAATATTCAATGATGCTTATTTTTAGGTACTTGTTAAACAGTAACCATGATTTGTAGACACATGAGATGGTGATATTTTAGGAACTTGAGAATTTAAGATGATGGTACAGTTGAAACTTTACTAAAGAAGTGACATTACAGATACCCAACAATGTTCTGAGATATTCTACGATTTTTTTTTACGTGTTAGATCCTAAGAAGGCTCTAAATTAGATAAAGACAGCTTGAGTCATGACAAACATAGGTTGCTCTGAATTAAGAACTAGAGAGGGGTTGAGGGAAATAATAAATATATTTATGTAGTGCCTTAACATTTATAAAATGCTTTCTGTTTGCAAACGTGAAAAAATAGAACCTAGTGATTACAAAAGCTTGATTTTAAATAAATTATTTTGGTTTCCCATGGCATTGAGAGGTGTACAGTTTTTTTTGTGTGTGTGCATGTATGTGTTTCTTTAAATTGTGCCAACATTTTTAACCCCTATGACCCTTCTTGTGGTTAATTGGCAGGCATATATGAATTTTAAGCAATGAACAGGTACTTTCATGAACTTTGAGAAGATTTCAAAACAATACTTTGAATTTTCTTAAAGATGTATTGCCTATTCAGACATGGAAGAGAAAATTTTTTTACCATTAAGTCATTTTTTTTTGGCAATAAAAATATTAATAGTTTAACAATCTTTTGTCCTTTTAATCTTGATTTTGGATAGATAAAAACAGTTGAAGATGTGTGGTCAATACAGTAGCATGTCAAGAATTTATTACTACTGTGTGCCAACCACTTTGTTAAGCTTTGGGGAAACAGGTAAATCCATAGATTCTGTCCTCAGGGAGCTCATATTCTAATGAGATGATCAACATGCAAATAAGTAAATACATCCAAGTTAAATGGCATGTAACCTCAGAGGGAAAGATACTTGGTTGGTGGGGCTGAGGGATTCTGGGAAAGGCCTCTGGTAGATTTGGGAATTTGAGTTGAATCTCGAACAAAACCAGGAAGGGAAGGGGAGGAGGAAGGTGTTGTAGGCATGGGAGATGGTGAGGGCAAAGCCAGGGATGTTCTCTATGAATGCTAGTGATTAATTTCCCTTTTCCTCTCTGACATCCTGTAATTGGCTATTTTGAGTAGAAGCATTTCATTGCACTGATAAGATAAAGGCACAAAGAACAGGCTCCATTACAGTTAATATGGTGATTAATTTGCCTAAAAGGATTTCTGGGGTTTCAGAGCTAGGGAGGCACCTTACAGATTTTACATATGGGGAAAAAGAGTCCCAGAGAAGTGAAGTAACCTGTGTTTTCAAGATCACTCAGTTATAAGTAGCAGAGCTAGGTTTCAAAACCAAGGCCTTTGACTCAGTCATCCAATGCTCTTTTCACTACGATATTGATTTCCCAACTTTTTTGGTCTCAGGTTTTTACATGCTTAAAAATTATTGAGGATTCCTCCCTGTTCAAAAGAGATTTTGTTTCATAGGTTATCTCTATCAATATTTAATATCTCTATTAATATGCAATAGAATCAAAATGAATAAATTTTATAGAAATATATATTTCTCTTAAAATGACAAATTCATTACATATTAACATAGATAACATTTTGTGGAAAAAAAAAAAACTTCTAAAAAACCTCCAGAACAAATCAGTGAGAAGAGTGATATTCTTTTACGTATTTTCAACTTTCTTTAATGCCTGGCTTAATATAAGACAATTAGATTCTCATATCTGCATCTGCATTCAATTTGTTGCAATATGTTGTTTTGGTTGAAGTATGTGAAAACAATCCAGCCTCACACAGATATAAAAGTGGAAAAAGGAGATGTATTTAAATAGGCAAACAATCTCTTAGTATTATTATAAAAACAGTTTTGATTTCAAGTACCCTCTGAAAGGATCTAGGGACCACAATGGTCTGTGGGCCATTGAGAACCATGCTCTGTACCATAATGTTAGAGGGATTATAAAAGTATTCATGATGTGATTAAAGTCTTTTTAAAAAGAAATTGTCCACTCCACCAGTGGGGGAGTTGGGGTGCTATGTATAGTAGCTTTATATTGTTCACTCATGTCCAACTCTTAATGGCCCCATTTGGAATTTTCTTGGCAAGGATACTGGAGTGATTTGCCATTTCCTTCTCTAGCTCATTTTACAGATGAGAAAACTGAGGCAAAGAGGGTTAAAGTGACTTACCCAGCTAATGAGCGTCTGAGGTCAGATTTGAACTCAGGAAGATGAGACTTCCTGACTTCCAGGCCCTACACTCTATCCTTAGCTTCCCCATAGAGTATCCTGGAGCTGGGCAAACCATTCACATTTTTTAATTTGTATAATCCTAGGAAGAATATCAGTTGTAAGGGGATTTAGAAATGATCCAAGTCAATCTGTGGTGGGGAAAAGAATCCCCTCTCCACTCCCCATCAGACCAGTGGTCATCCAGCCTTAGTTGACCTCTGGGGAGGGAGAGTCTACTGCTTCTGGAAGCAAAACATGCTACTTTGAGATGGCTCTAATTATATGTTATATCTAAATTTGTCCTTGTGACTTCCACTCACGTCTCTTAGTTCCACCCCCTGTGATCAGACTGAGCCAGTCCAATCTCTCTCCCACGAAACAACCTTTCAGATATGTGATGATTGCTGTTATAAGCCCAGCGGCTAGTCTTCTCTGGGCTAATTAAAATGGTATGATCTCTAAGCCTTTTTACCATCTCCTGGCTACTCTCCAGTTTATCAAGCGTTTTCCAAGATGCAGAACTCAGCACTGCTCATATTAACTTATTTTGGCTGTCAAAATCAAATCGTTCACATGCTTTCAGTCTCCCCTGTCACACCAAGCATCCCATTCCCCTCTTCATTGATCTCCTTCTTTGAGCATTCTCTTTTCTTTACTATATAGCTACTGCCCTCTCCTTAATTTTTTTTCTTAGCTTTTCCATCTATCCTCAGATCATTCTGAACTGTAGTCTTCCTCTGGTGTTTCATGATTTTGTATTAATCCTTCATATCAGCAAAAAAAAAAAAAATTACCAATTTAATTTAATAAGTGAGAGGGGGAAATGAAAAGAGATCCCAGTCATGGATTCTAGTGACTCAGAATGTGTGGGAGAAATGATACAGAGGATTTGTTTTGTGGTCACAATAATAAGGCTGATTCAGGGGCAACTAGGTGGCAATAGTGGATACAGCTCTGTCCTTGGAGTCAGGAGGACCTGAGTTCAAATCCGTCCTCAGACACTTGACACTTACCAGCTGTGTGACCCTGGGCAAATCACATAACCCCAATTGCCTCACTAAATAAATAAATAGATAGATAAATAAATAAACAAACAAAGAGGCTGATTCTATCAAAGTTCCTGGAGGTCATTAATGAAAACAGGTAGCAATAACAATAATAACTTGATGGTTTATTAATCACTTTCTCCACAATAACATTGAGGATTAGGGTGCCAGAGAAGTTAAGAGGCTTGGCCAAGGTCACATGGCTAAGAAGTGTCAGAACTAGGATTTAAATAGCCCTCCTCACTTTGTGTCCTATGTTTTCTCTTCATGGTATAGACCTGAATTTGATTTCTGGTTCTGATACTTATTAGCTGTGTGATTAGGAATGAGACTTTATCTCTCTGGGCCTCAGTTTCCTGATTATTAAAAACTGATGACAATATCACTGGCTAACTCATAAGGGTTGTCAGGAAGGTGGTTTGTAAAATTTAAAGTACTATAGAAATTGAATCACATATGGGCTACCTATTCTGTGGGAGTAATCCTTGTTCTGTAGCTGGCTTCCCTGATTCCTGGATGGTCCTTTGACAGATTCCCAATTCACTAACAATTAGAGTCCATCTGTCATCAACATGCCTTTGCTCTGGCTCTCCCCTTTGCCCGGAATGCGCTTCCTCTTCTCTGTCTCCTGTAACCTATGGCTTCCTTCGAGACTCAGCCCAACGCCACTATCTGTAGGAGGCCTTTCGAAGGAGTTCTAACATCGCCTCCTGCATATTTTGTACGTATGTATATCTTGTAGATGTGTGTCTCACTAGAATTGAAGTTCCTCAAGCGCAAGCATTTTTTTTTCTTTTTTTATGCTCTGTATTTAGTGCAATGGCTGGCGTTTCTAGATAGATTGATTAAAACAATCAGAGACATTTTTATAGTCTTTTAAGGTTTTCAGAACACTTTACATGCATTGTCTCTTTTGAGCTTCAAAACAAGCAGGTCAAGTCAGGTCTCCAGGTGACATTATTTCCTTTTGTTCTACCATCATCTCACTGGAGTGCTCCCTCTGCCAATGTAGATTGGCATCTGCTTTGTAACTACCCATCTTAAGAGAGTTGCCTAAGCCAAGAATGTTTAAGTGACTCACCCATGGTCACACAGCCAGTATATGCTGAAAGCACGGCTTGTATCCAGCTTCTGATACGGAAGCTACTTCTCTATTATGTGACATTGTTTATTACCCCTGTTTTACAAGTAAGGGAACTGAATATCAAAGAGCTTATATGACTGCCCATCATCACGAAAATAGCAATACTGGGATCTGAACTCAGGCCTTCCTGAGAAGACAAACTCATCTTAAGAGAAGCCAACTGCCTCTTAAGAGACAGTTGGGTCACACATGGTCTGCAGACAGTTCAAATCTAGCTTCAGATACTTAGTAATTGGTCAATACCTATTATGTCATTTAATCTGTTCTCACCTCAGTTTCCTCAACTAAAAAAAAAGGGGGATAATAATAACACCTACCTCATAGGGTGGTTGTGAGCATCAAAAGAGCTCTTTGTAAACCTTAACTGTCACTGCTGTTGTTCAGTCACGTGCAACCCTCTGTGACCCCATCTGGGGTTTTCTTATCAAAGATACTGGGAGTGGTTTGCCATTTCCTTCTCCAGCTCAATTTACAGATGAGGAAACTGAGGCAAACAGGGGTAAGTGATTTATCCAGGGTCACACAGCTACTAAGTGTCTGAGACTGGATTTGAACTCAGGAAGAGGAATCTAACACTATATAAATGCAGGCTATTATTATTCCTGACTGCAATTACCCTGGTTTTTTTTAATTATTATTATTATTCTACTACTCTGTTGTGCAACTTGAGCCCAGGTTAGAAGGATATGAGAGTAAGTGTGTGAGTGTTGGTAGGGGAATGTCCCAGTCCATGCTCATCCCCATTAGGATGGGCACTTGAGTAGTGACTATAAGTTTAAGTTGTTTTTTTGGTTATTTTCAAAGCAAAGTCTTCCTTAAGGGGTAACAAAAGAAGGGTCTCAGTCAAAAAAAAAAATAGAAAGTCAATACTATGAACATAATTAGTGAAGGGAGAGATGGGCAACTATGGAAAAAGTACATTGTTTGTGTACAGATTATGGAGTTATAACCTGAAAAAGGAAGGCCCAGAGCTAGATGG